AAACTTTGAAGAATTTGGAACAATATTCATGATCGGTTGAAAAGGAAAGGTAGAGAAAATAATTATCAAATGAAATGATAACAGGAATAAAGACTAAAATGCCATTGTTGGAAAACTTTCTCTTTATGTGGAAGTTTGCATTCTTTGCCTTGTACTGAAGTGTGCATATTGTTTATGTACATGTAAAAAAAAATTATGTAAAAAAAATCAAAATCAAATCAAAATGAGTAAAATGACTTTTAATGGATATCATTGGGATGGTATTTCATATCCTAAAACGAATACATATTCAGAAAAAAAACAAAACAAAACAAAACAAAAAACATCAAACAAACAAACAGACAGACAAACAACAACAACAACAATAAGCAAGGTTATGTTTTACAATTTTTGTTTATTGTTTTTTTACTTGGGATTAATGTTGTTGTTATTGTTCAATTTCTTTTTCTGAAGTACATTTATTTTATGGGTATGGCTGTTGGAATACAATGTGTTTTGATATGATATTTACAAAAAAATTCAACAAAATAATTGTAATTTTTAAAAAATACAATAAAAGAACAAATGGTACAGTTTTAGGTTAAATATAAATATATATATATATATATATATATGAGAAAGAAAGAAAAGAGCTTCAACCCAAGGTTTAATACATACATGTATTACAAGACATGACCTAAGTACAATGTGGAAACTTCCATGTGGATTCATAATTTATCGTATCATTTCTTAAGGAAAGAAAGTCTCCAAAATATTGGATGTATAGGAATTCTAATTAAGAGGCAAACATTATGAAGCATTGGTGTAGCATTGGTCAAGTACAACGTACCTTCCTCGCCATATCATACAAAGGAATGAGTCATTCTAAACCCTATCTCATGTCTTTTAAAAGAACTTTTGACCCTTTGCTCTCTTGACTTTTGATTGGAGCAACACCTCCACAAGGAAAGTTGAGGTGTGCGGATGGTGGCCACACCCTTCAAAAAACAACAACAACAACAACAACAACAACACTAATAATACAATATAATACTAATATTACATGAGAACCATTATTTTAAGCAATTCTCATGTGTGGCGTGACTCCACATATCCATACAAAATTTTGCATTGGGAGGGATCTTGTTGTTGGTGTGAACAAGCAGATAGAATAAAGGGTTCTCAAAAGTGACGGGATGTGTGTTTTTGTGGCCACATGGGCACCAAAAGGCTCCAAAAACTGAAGTTGCTTTTGTTGGTCAGTTTCATGCATTCCATCTCATTTTGGCCTCTACAAAACCCGTCAAAAAAATGCTGCAGTTGTCTCACTGTTTGTTTTGAAGAATTTGCAGTTATTTTGTGTCTGGTGGACGACTTTGACAATCCATCCCATGCAATCTCAATGTGTTCCCATGACTCACCAAGTGAGTATGATATCCTTTTGGGAGACGTCACAACTTGACTCTCTTTCCATTATCCTTCTTCCTCCAAAAGGGTATATTTATTCATTCTACATGTGTGTGTGTGTGAGAGAGAGAGTCTATGTCAGTGATGACGTGGTTTTGAAACTTGTCCCTAGCAACAAAGGAAAGTTCAAATCTATAAGGTACCAATTCCACGTCATTTGCATACAAGGATTCTCTGTTCCATTCATATTTGCTTCTCCCCTTTTTTTTTGTTTTTGTTTTTTATTATCTCTCTTAGTGAGACATTATTGGGTGCACAACCTTGGCCATATGTATTGGCACATGGATGATTGTGCACTTTGGCATTCATTTCCCCTCACTCCTCAATTGTGGATGATCCATTTAAGGGGGATTGCAATAAAAGAATCAATTGCATTGAAGAAGTGTGACGGCAAGATGCCAATCCCGGCTTGTTTGCACACATCACACCAGGTTTTTTGTTTTTTTTTGTTTTTTTGTATTTTTTTTTATAGTCATTGTTCTGCACTTCTGAACAGTGCTACTGTGGCAAGGTGATATCCATCAAGGTGGCACAAGATGGTTTGATGTGGGAGTCTGTTTGCTTAGTGTCAGTGAGGGAGTGTAAGATATCTGCTTCCAACCCTAAATGTCCCTCGCAAGACTTGGTGCATTATATGAACACATAGAAGCTATTTTCTGAATCCTCCCCCTGTTTGCAATAGTGGCACCCAAATCCTTACCCATCCAGTGATGCAAGCCAATCACAAACAGGCACCATTAAAAGTAATCTAAGAAGATATTATTATTTTGGTGTGTGTGGGGGGGGGATATTGAAACATATGTTTGTTGACATGTAAAATGAGTTCACAATCTGACTACCCAGATTAACTGTTCTACGTTTGTGTAAAATGTAACCCCCAAGCAAGTAAAACTTTTTGGAAGACCCATGCTGCCATAGCAGCAATGCTCAACCACAGTTGGACTCTGAAAGGGAAACAATGGACATGACTGTGTCTGAGAAGGAATAGCAACATGTGCTCAAATTAAGGTGGTAGGCATGGTCCCACTATGAGAGATGGAGTGACAGTGATAAAAAAAAAAAGGGGAGGAGGAAGCTGTCCAGGAAAGATACAATCACACACACACAATTAGGGTTTTTTCTTAAAGATACAAACAAACACATATACACAACTAGAAATACCTTAAAATGTGTCATGCCCTTGAACCAACCTGTAGACCTTACCTAAACCATTATGACATGAACCCAAAATCAACCATTCTTCATGTAGAAAGATTCCAAGTCCATTCCAAGCCAATCAATGAATCGGCAAACTTTACAAGAATAAAGGGTGTAGTTTAGTGTAATGGAAGTGGATGCTTTTACTCAAGTCTATGCCTTGGTTCATGGGTTGAATGCAAAAACTGCTTTGTTAATTATTACCAATTAAACCATTGTGGCAATTTTTTTCTTCTTTTGAGGCACATTAGAACCTTATTTCTCCACTCAATCCCCCATAAGAAGTCGTTTCTGGCAAAGCAGTGAATGTGTGGCAGCAGTGTCCAAAATGAAGAACTGGGAGTTGTCACTACAGAAGCATCCAATGATGCAGATCTGGAGCCAGCTCTGCTCTGCTCTTTCCTCAACAACAAAAGCACTATTGCAGTGTGTACATCACAAATGGGAATGAAACTGTTTGCATGCCATTGGTGGGCACAGATTTAGTGTTGTGCTAAAATTATGGGGAGCAGACTACTTACAGTCTGACAAGATGGTGGATGCCCTTATCTCTGCAACCCAGCTTTTCATTTTCTTTCTTCACCTGCTTCTTCTTGTGCACAATGGGTGTTTTTCCAAGTAAAAAGAGTACATGCTTGTGTTGGTGTTTCTACCAACTTAGGAGTAGAAGGTGGGGAGGAATGGGTGCAGAAACCTTGCAAATGTTTTTCCAAATGCCTGCAGAGTCATCTGACAATGAAAGAGCAAGACATGTAGTCTTTGTCTTGACAGCTCCTCAATGCCAGTTGAATGCTAAATGTTGCATACATATATGTATGTATGTAGCTCCTCAAACTGCTGGTGAGAATTCATGCAAGTTAAATGGTTGCAATATTCCACACCAACCAGGTCACATATTTTCTTCCTCTCCTCTGTTGTTCCTATTTTATTGTTTTTAGGATTCCCACAAGAATGTGGTTGTGGTTGGGCCACAGCAGCAAATGTACATTGGGTACCATATATTAATTTAACATTCTTATTTTAGCATGTGAAACATCTATAAAAAGACATGCTATACTCTCAGATGTAGTTGCTAGCAATGCTCAGTTTCTATTGTTGATAAGTATCCTTAAGAAATTCTGTGAAATGAAGACACACTCTTTTATTGGCAAAGTTTCAAGTTTGACACTCCTTTTATACAAAGTGAGAGTGATCTTGATTTTGCAAGTCCACAATTTTTGCTTCTGTTGCATTGTAATCCTCATGCAGTTGGAATAAAATATAAAAACACAAATTCAATTTTGGTCATCTGCAAAAGAAAAGAAAGAAGAAAAATGACAAAAAGAAAAAAGCATTAAAAGCGCATCAATACTTGCGGTCAGAAACGCACAATTCCTAGCTACAAATCAATGGTTTCTTAAGACTGTCTTTATCTCTACCTCCCTCCATAAATACACACACACACACACACACATATATATATATATATATAGAGGCACACGTTTAAAGTCAATGTTTCGCATCTTCTATTTTGTATCTAATCCACAGTAATAGTGTCTGCAAGGCTAAAACAAGTTTGTTGTTGCATCAACCTCCTCACACAAAGAATAAATAAACAATAAAATAAAATAAAACCTACAAGGAGAATTCATCAGGATTGACAAGCTGGTTCTCTCTCTTCCCCACCCCACTGTCTGAAACTGATTGCATTAGAGCGGAAACCAGATAACCCACAAAAACCCACAAACACACACACAATGCCCTACAAGACACGATGCCCTGGCAAACTTCCAAAGTGCACTGCGATCAAAACCGGAGCATCAATCCATGCGGGAAAAAGGGAAGATTCGAACGGAGATGCCTCTCTGAAGGGAGCCAGCTCATGCAGCCAAGCCAAACATAATGAAGCAAGAGGAAGGAGAAAAGGGGAGAAAGAAAGAAAGGAGCCGAGGTAGACACGAAGAGTGGCGTTGAATTGGGGTTGAGTTGAGTTGGCAGTCTGACGCATCCCACGCGTTGCGCCTGCTCTCTCGCGGCGACCCTAACGAAGGACTCGCGCACCCACTCAACGCTACACCCGTCCACTCGTGCGACCGATCGCTTGACCCTCCCATCATTCGGTCGAAAGCTCATAACCGACGGACATCACCTCCGACCATTGGACGGTATACCTCGTCGAGTCATGGTCGATGGTCGACGTCTTCTGGCGAGAACAGCCACGTGGATTAGTGGAGTTTGAAGGAGGGCGTAGTAAGAATTGTTTTTTTTTTGGTCAGGTGGGGATGGTGGAACGGACTCTTTTTGCTTTTGCTTTTTCTTTTTTCTACCTGTCTGGGAGTTGGGGACGGATTTTGTGATTGTAGTGCATGACGAGGATCAGTGGATGCCGCGCTTGGGGACAATTCGCGCTTGTCTGGGGCTGACCTGTGGATAATGATTCGGGGCTATGAATAGGAATAAGCGACGAGGAGAAGCTTGCTTATCGTCGGCTGTTGGTCATTTGCTGGACTAAAGGATTGATTTGCGCCCCCCTCCGACATGGTTGCAAGTCTGGAAGCGAGGAACCCAGGGAGTAGCTTGCTAATCTTTACCAGGAATATCAGCATGCATACTGTTTTCTGGACCTTGTGTTTATGAGAGAGGCACAGTGGAGGCTTGCGCCGCTGGCAACGACTGCTGCCCTTTTTCACCTGAGGTGTTGAGAGTTGCTGATCAGTTGACGTGAGCGCTCAAGTGAGCGATCGGATGGTTATAGTGAAATGTTTCCAGCGTCGCAAGTTGCTGGAGTGCATGGGGAATCCGGGTTTAGTGACACAGCCGGAGATACAGTAGGATGATTGGGTGCAAGTTACTTGGTGGATTCTAATCTCGTTAGGTCCTGTTGGTGCGTAATCTTGCCTATCACCGATGAGCCTTGATGATTTCACACTTTGGTGGAAACAGTTTTAGCGCGCTCGCGCGGGGAATTGGGAGAAGTTTCTGGTTGCCGGTATCGTTGGTGGTATAGAGGTTGGATAGCCACAATCAAGGAGTGCCGGGATCGGTTTAGGTTCTGGCATGAGTGCTTCTGGTTTCTGGGGATGAGGTGAGAGGAAGTGTAGCAGGCGAAGAATATATATTTTTGTTTTCTTCATTTTGTTGCATTTTTCTTAGTTTCGTCTGCTACTTGTTTCTCATCCAGAGAAGACCTTTCCGTTTCTGTAACGAAATTGGTACCAAGGACGCCGTTTCTTTCCTTTACAGGAAGGCAAGGCTTTCTTCTGATGTTGCGTCACCGGATTGTTTCTCGTTATACAGGACGAAGCTTAGATTGCACTACTTTGCGCGGGAGCCTTTCATGTACAGGTTTCTAACCTTCCAGGCTCAGTCGGAAGCTCATCGCTAATTCGGAACTCCGAGATTTTGATATCACGCTTAAAATCGCAGGTGCAAGTGGGAGGGCTCATTTGAAGTGTATCTCGGAAGTAGATGGCGGGAAAATTGCTGGAGGTAGTGAGAAAGGCACGCATGTCATCGCGTAAAAGGGTTCTGCAAACTAATACGATTACCCCCTAATCCAGTTATCTAGCTCAAGAAGCGATGTGCTTTTTTTAAGTTGGGAGGGATACGTCTTATTGGCATCTGATTCGACCTTTAGGTAGTAGGATTGTAGAAGCAATTGTTGGGGTATAGAGACGGCGTAACCTGTTACAGATTTTTCGATTCACGCAGCGAGGTTTAAGAGAGTGTAAGCTTTTTTTTTGTGGGGGACCCTAGGGGCTAGCCTGTTATCAAGGCTGATGTCTTGTAAAGGTTTTGTGGCGGGGTTTTTGGGGTTCCAGAGTTTGGACTAGGCCCATACTGTGATTATTGTCGCTGGGAGGCAATCAGCGAGGTTGGAATCCCGATCCACTTGGAAGAGAACCTCAACATCCGCAGATATTTTACCTTTCGCTATAGAAGTTGTTAAGGACAGTTGGCGTCAGGGGCAGACTATGGAGGAGTCCAAACAGCCAGGTGCAACCATCTCTGCACTAATATCTCAAAGCTTTAGCATTTTGTAATTGAGACTGAGCTGAGAAGGCCCCTGGTGTTCATCTATCTCCATGAATCATTTGTACTTGCATTCTGTCAGGGCATTATGATCCTCACCATGATACAGTTCTGAATTACGGTTCTGGTCTTATGTTTAGACCATTCCAGCTATCGTCCTGTGGCTCCTGTACCCTTTCGAGTATGTTAAACGCACCAGGAAGGACGGATTATGTCCAAGCCCTGTCACATAATTCAGAATTTGGTGTACCAATCTATCGTTGTACATTCCGGAATGGATGGTGGAAATAGGAACTAGGTTTCTACAGTTCAACAGGATTTCCCCTTTTCTTGTTACGGCTCTTAGAGATGTCATCCTTGATTACAAAACTCCAGCAATTTTGATTTACAGCTAGTGCCTGTTATGTTGAGTTAGGTTACTTTTTAGAAAGTGTAATTTGGCATGGTTTATGAAATTCTATGTTCATATTTTGAGCCCTCTCGTTCCTTTCAAAGCTTGCCGACCTGAGCGTTTTTTTTGTTTTTTGTTTTTTTTTTGGCGCTCTCCTTGCTCCAGGTCCACACAAAGAGAGGTTTCCTATGAAACTTAATTGGGTTCGGTACCGTAAAATGAACTGTAGAAGGAACGAAAATATGAAGGTGGTGTTGTCTGCCGGTCGTTCAAAGAACATTGTTGGCGTTGTGACTACCTTGCACGAGATAGCTTCACTAGGTGTCGGTAAATGTCTTTGTAATTGACGTTTCCGTTTTGGATTCTCGAGTACCTCGTATCCTGTGCCGCTGTCCTTTGGGAAATTTACAATCTGATTGCGATTTATTATGCTAGTAACCTAATCTGATTTAGAGAGACCAACTTGAGTGCCCTAGGCTGTTCTTTTCTCCATAGTACACTCTCATCATGGCACAGTGCTTGCGCAGGCCTTCAAGCGTATTTTCATAGTGGTACTCGCTGCCAGAAATCGTAACCAGTCCACAAGTATTTCAATGTAGTTTTAGATAAGCGCTGATGGTTAGAATATCATCGGTTCAACGTATATTTACCTACGATTTGAACGGGGCTCAGCGTTTTGCGAGTCTTCCAATGTACTGGCTGAATATGTGTTTAGTCACATTTAGATAAAATCGGGATGCTTTGTTGTAGAAATTGTACGCTATGTTTCTTGTTATAGCAAGGTTTACATCCCCTCTAAGCTTTGAAAGGTAACAAAATGTTGTAATCGTCGTCAATCTGATGAATCTAGTAATGTGTACAGGGTCTAAGGCTATGCAGGGATTCCCGAGGATGGATAACGTGTCCACAGGGAAATACGGTGACCGGTCAGTGAACTGGGCACATCCTATGAACAATTCTACGCATTTGCCCCCCAAAAGCCCTCATGGGGGTTATTCTATGTTCAGTTCGTCGAGTCTCTTCGAGAACAATGGAGGGTTGAATTTTCCTCCATGTCAGCCGATTCGGGGTGGTGAGCACAGGCGCAGTCCTTCTGCAGGGTATGTTCCTCAAGGGCAGCCAACTTGGCAATCGGTCAGACTTGCATCTTCAGATGGAATTGTTGTGAAGAAATGCTCACATCGCCGATCGTCGAGCGATTCTGTGGCCTTCGTGGACAACTCCTACCAATGTATGAATTACTTGGAACATGTTACAGAGGAGGATGAATTCGTATTTCAGGAGCCACCGATTTCTGCTTACAGGCCAGCGCATCGGAAAGGCTTGAGTGCGGATTATGATAGGTGAGTCGAAACATCTGAGTCCTTCTCTTTGTTCGCATTCAGTCAGCTACTGCTGGTGATGATCTCGTGTATATCTGAGTTTGAACTAGAGCATACTTTGCAGGTCGAATTGTCCTTGTGAAGACTGTAAGGGGCTTGGTGCCGCTGAGGGCTTATTCGGGCTAGATATTAGCACTGTCTTAATTACTTGTTCTCAACGCTTGTGCAAGAGGTAAGTTGTATCAACGGTCGAGGATCCTGTCGTGTACTATTGAACTCTGATTTTTGTGTGTATCTTTCCCTTGATGCAGCTATTCTTCTATTTCCCCCACCGGTAATCAGAATCCTCAGTATAAGTTACTTGAGACACACAGGTTATATCCCGGAAAGAGTATGAGAGGGGATCATAACATCAACAGGTGAGTTTTATCGTTTGCATAATCAATTGTGCAATTCACCGTTCATTGTTTGAAATGTGAGGTCGAGCCTTTAGCAATTCGATTATGCTTCCTGTCCTCTGTGTTGCAGCAAGAGTAATTTATTTAATAGTCTAGTTTTAGAGGCGACGAGGGTTTTTTCCTGTCTCTAGGGTGTTGATCTTATTTTTTATTACTTTATAAATCGTAGGATATGCAAATAAAAAAATATTCTTATATTAATATAGCAATGTGCTGAACGTTTTTTTTTAGTTTTCTACCTGAAGAAGTATTGGCAATTGGTTGTGCTCTGTCTTTCAGGCTGGGCAGAGATTACGTACCCAGAATCCGCGACAGTGAGCCTTTTCAAAGACAGCAATCTAGACATGAAAATGTAGCAGCATACAATCGTGTCGGTTCTAATTTGGCGAAATCCGTGCCTCAAGAAGATAGCCGGAACTTGGGAAAGGCCAAGAAGCACGTCACTTTAGCTATTCCTAACCTGAAAAGTGATGGTACGTCATCGTCTAAAGGAAGAGTTCATAACTTGGGTACTAATTCAACCCTCGAAAATCGTTCAACTGCTTCTGAAAGCAATAGCCTCAGTGACGACTCCAACGACGATGTACGTCCTAAGAGCTACGAAAAATTAAGAGGTGACTCAGAATTACGAACTGAAGGCGATGGTAATGCTCCAGCTCTGGCACATGACGATTGTACGAGTTCTGAGCAACTGGATCCTAAGAAAGCGAAACGGTGAATTTTCTTTCTTTTATGCTCTTCTATGGTTGGCTAGATAGTTTGGTGACGTAGCTTGTGTGAATACGACTGGCAAGTATTTAGATTCTATTTTTGCGCAGCTTTTCTGGCTACAGGAATACTTTTGTATTTGTCATAAATTCCAGATTATCTTCTTCTCGCTTTGATTGTATTGGTTTCCTCTCGTTCAATCCCAGTCGAACACTGGTACTGTTTGCTCTTTGGAACCTACTGTCTGATGAACTGTAACACTTTTGTCATAGGATTCTTGCCAACAGACAGTCGGCTCAAAGATCACGCGTCAGGAAGTTACAATATATCTCTGAGCTCGAGATGAACGTCAGTGTATTAGAGGTACCAGAACTGCTCAAAGCTGTATATTTTCATTGAACGTAGTTGGTGACATATTGCTTGTCCATGGTATCAATTTCCCATTTCGATGCATGCAAGTAGTAATGGGAATCTCCAACTTTTTTACCGTTTATGCAAAATTCAAGAAAACTCCCTGTCTTACATGGTCTTTGCTCCACTGCAGTCAGAAGTTGCGTCTCTTTCGCCCAAGGTTGGATACTATGACCATGAAAGAGCACGATTGAGTGCGGAGAATGTGCTGCTCAAGCAGAAGCTGGCAGCGCTAACGAAATCTCAACGCCTGAAAGAGGGTAAGTAATTTGGTAGCATCTTGTCCGCATGACATGCTTCACAATCGAAACCAGGTGCTGTATTTATGGAACCTTTCGTTGGACGATAGTTGATATAGTGTTGGGTTATATAGTGCATCCTCTTGGTAATCAGGACGTATTTTGCTGAATCTTGCTGAAGTCTGTGCAGGGCGCTAAATAATCTTACATAATAGTACTCGGTTGTCCACAACTTAAAACTAATTCATGCATTGTTGATTGCTCATGTATCTGAAGTTGCGCTTTTAATTGTTGAACAGCTCACTCTGAAAGCCTCAAGTCGGAAGCTCACAGGCTCCTACAGCTCTACAACCAGCAGCAGCAGCAAACTCAACATCACGCTGAACGACGGTCCCTTTCTGCAGACATCCTAGACCTCCAACTAATGCGTTTCAGTCAGCTTGACATCGGCCCTCAAATTCCCAAGCCCAAGTCCCCAAATGGCTACACATCAGTGGTGAGGCCCTCCAGTGGCCGGCCTTCCTTGTACCCATCCAAAGTCATCTCCCCCCCACATGATAGAATCATAAGTAGGCCTTCCTCTCACACCATTCCACCATCTTGCATGGCTCCAGGGGGCAAGACCTTGGCTGGTGGGATGATGGGCGGGTCGAGCACTTCCTTCATGGTGCATAACTTATAACCCTGTGAGAACTGATCTGTCTTCCCTACTATCGACAATCCCTCACAACGATCCTGCGACTTTGTGATGCCCTTTCATCTGTCCCCAAGTTTGGAGTACATTGAAGAGCTCTTAAGAGAACCTCCGCTGGAAGATTAACCTACGATGGAGAATTCCGCATCAAAGTGCGAGTCCTTTCCAACTTTCAAGAGGCGTTGGAGATATTAGGACCTCGTTGTGCTCAATGGATTGCAGCAAAGCTGACCAACTTGTAGTGCCTTGGCCAAGACCCCGAACTAGGACGACTATGCGCTAAGGCACTCTCTTCAGGCTTTATCTTTTTACGTATCCTTCTTTGTATAATTCGAGACTGCTTCCCCATACATGAACGCGATGATATTGTACATGTTCTCACGGAGATGCGGTCACTCCATATCCATCGATTCACGGTTGGAGAAGGAGTGGTTTTTCATGCTCGGCTCCGTTTAGCTCCCTGTCATGACCACCTTGGCCAGTGGAGTGTAAATTAGGTACTCTCTCGGAGTGAAATTGGTTGAAGTTTTAGACCTCTAAATGACTATGGTATCATAAAAGAAGAAAAAAAAAATAGACACATGTGACACACTCAGGCGCGTGGATTGACTAGCTGTACAATCCTCTGTTGACACTGATGAGAGACTCTCCTTTTATGTGCATTGAAATGCACACTTTTGTCCATCAATATGCATGAGAATTTCGAAACATGTTAAGTGTTGTCCTGGTGTGGATGGACAGAGGTTCAATTTTAACTGTCATTTTGGTTTCAGTATCCTTGAATTTGTAGTTAGCTCAAAGCTATAGCTTTGACAGCACTTTAGAGTGGTATCAATACTTATTTACTCATGAAATGTAGTAATTATACAGAATGTCTAAGTGCAATAATCCCGACCAGGTGGATAGGAGTTATTACATGGGTGATCAAATAAGGTGTACAGCCCCAACACCAATCATTGTTGCATGCTGCCACAATCTTTGTTACATGAGGAAAATGTGTGCGCACATACAAATATACATTGAAAAGTATCACCATGGAGAGAATTCTACTCAACAGAATAGAGATCTGATTCCTGCAAAATCAGATTATCACATGGAATCAGTGCTGGTTCGTACCCCAAAGCGATCATTACAAACAAATTCAGTCGAACTGATGAATGCGACACTAACGATCAGTTTTCAAAACCTCAACTGAAGAAGACCTGTGGGAATAAAAAAAAAAATTACTAATCACGTTGCAGCATCATACTAGCCACTAACAGCAAGTAATAATAGTACGCATGCTCTTGTTCCAGTTTCTACGTCGAAGATTCCTTAACAAACCATTACACTAGATAAATACGTGCGCTAGAAACAATTCGACGCTTATGTTCCCGATGTACCACATGAAACCTTTCAAAGTTCAAATTCAGCGCTTCCATTTAAATTCAACATTCAGCCATTACTGAGCTTTAGATATTGAGCTGGCAAAACCACTCATTGAAGGCACTGCATGCCACTTCTTCCCTCATTATCCTCTAAAAAATCCAATTAAGATGCTAAATATGCACCTCGTGACGAATACTAACCCCAAGTGCTCCATAAACTAACGCTACGTTTTGGCTATTTTTTGCTCCACAACCTACAAAAGATGCTAAAAACTTAATTTTTGATTTTTCCGAACTCAAAAGACGAAAATTATACTTTTATACTAGCATAGTATGATGGTAATTTCCAAGGTATGTTCGCACAAAAAAATTCCAGCAACTGTTCGGCAAAAGAAATACCTCACATGTCCCAAAAGATTTATGTACCTCCGCATCTCAACTTCATAACAATCATGCACCTAAAAAGATGAATGAAGAATAATGCTGATAAAATGCAGCAAAGTTGCCAATTAATTCCAAGAACCGCCCTCAATTGGACATGATCTGAGTTTAGGAACCGGTAGCAAGGATAAGAAACTTGGCGCCGGCAGAGATCTGCTGCGCCTTGCTAGTCTGAAGGAGTTCACTGCTTCATGAAAAGGTGCAAAAAGATGTTGCATCGTCGACTTGGACAACTTCTTGACACCAATCAGGTAGACAGACCGCAAGGAAGCCCAACAAAGTGGGTTTATCAGCTTCAAGGACTTTTGCGTCAGCCAACTTGCCACTGCCTCTATACAAATGGAGCACAGCCGTTGTTAGTTCTCCTCTTTGTCGCTGTGATAATAGAGTCCCAGGTGCTTGAGAGCAAGCTCTATAAAGTGGCAAATAAGCGATTGCAACCTGGAGTTCCACGGGCAACTCTTTGAAGCCAGAGTCGCTGCGCCTTCTCAGAAGCATCCATGTCATGTAATGAGCATCGCCAGCTTTGACCCCTTCGTTGAAAGCTTGAGGAGACCACTCTTCTATCAGCCGCCTCTTGACAAGATGATCCGTCTTTGGCAACTCTGACAATATTTCTGCTTCTCTGAGAGTTGTAGCAGGATCATCCAGAAAATTGGCATGCAGAGCTAAAAGCACCCCCTGTGGACCACGAGGTGGACCCCGAAAAGTTGAAGCTGCACATCTCACTGCGGTCACCAGGTATAACAGGTCTCTAGGCCTCGGAAGAGCGTTCAACAAGTACTGTATAGCTTCAGCTTGGCAAAAGGTCACTGCCATGTCAAGATACACATATGCAGCCTCGTAACATTTCTCCTCCACCAAGCACTGCACCACTGGATATAAGACATTTGATCTAGCCGCTTGATAGACAGCAAGAGTTGTGACAGAAAAACTCAGCTTTCCAACCTCGCACTCGACCAGGAGAAACTTCAGCATTCTCAAAGGCCAGTCTATCCTGCAAGCCCCCAAATCGCATTTCCCTTCTCCGAAGTGATATGAACAATTCGCCTCATGTAGTAGAGACGTTTTACATGCAGATTTCGCATGTAACATTTCAGGGCGATCAGAAAGACCTCTGTACACAGCACCATTCCTACACACTACTAAAAGAATCTCCATCATATCCTGTGCATCTGGTACAAATGTTGAATTGCAATCTCCATTTTTGTGATGCCGAAACTTGCGTCCCGAATGTGCGGTTCGCCTTGTATCTTCCGGTTTTACCAATTTAGTGTAAAGGGTGACACACACCATCAGCGAGATTTTGCCCATGAATTCTGGTGTAAGATAACGAGAACCAAGGGTGATAAGACTCTCTAGAATCTTAATCTTTTCTTCAAACACATACTTATTCCAGTATCTGATCAGTGCATCGCCACAAGTCGCTTGTACAGCTGTAGGGAAGCTTCTAGCACCAGCCTTCGCCACTTCGCTGATAGCATTACTAAGGAAGTCGGTCTCTTCCGTAGTTTTGCAGCTCCATATCCGGGCTGCTCCAAGGAGCAAGCACCTATCCAACCCTTCCAAGTCGGCCACCTTTATCACATGATCAAGAAGATCCTTTCGCAGACCGACTAGGGATCCTACAAAAGCGGCACCAATAACAACCGGCCGTGCTCGAGGGAGCAACGCATCCACAATATGTCGATGGCCGGAATAGCCAGCACAAGCTGATGCAGATGAAATGTTTGTCGCTCCAGCCTCAATAAGGGTATGCAAGATATCTTCATTTCCTAGGCTTGCAGCTTGAAGCAGAGCATAATTTAAATCCCTTTCTGACACAGGCTCCGGGTGTATTCTTCCACATGCTCCCTCGCATGTATCGTCCATATCCCATGCACGTGCCATCAGGAAATGTTCATAACAGATGCTGCTATGGCATGAGGCTGCATTTAACATCGTATCACGATTAGGAGACACTCTTAAAAAATGTTCCTGGCCTCAAACTGTGCAACATCAGTATGACCTGGACCTTCATGATTCCTATTCGAATTCCAAAGCAAATTTTATACTCTAAATCACAACCTCCAGAGATACCTACGATACCGCTAACAAAGGTACGCTGAGGAGAGAAAACACCCCCCGTAACCGGTAACTCTCTCATAATCTGCGCAACTATATTTTATTGCACTTTTCAAGTGATACCTATAGAAGCTCAAGAGTCCACCCCAGCGATGACAGTGAATATAGATTATTGATTACTATCACAGAACTTGAGCACACAAAAAACCTAGAGCGAATATAGCAACGAAACTCCATAGTGCTGCCTAGAATTCATTTCATATAGCACAGATTTGATTTTCATACCAGCGACTCGCTAAGACAACCAAAAAAGTATAATCATTTCAAGAACTTAAATAAAGAACGAAATAGAGATTAGCTGACGCTTACAATTAACAAACGCTCACGTCGTTTTTACCTCTAATCGAGTTGCAGTCCTCTACTGGCTAAACAATCAAGATCATACAACGACTAAGCATTTGAGGTAGAAATGGAAGTACGAAAGCATAAACGAGGATATGCTACTGATTCTGACACACTCAGGATTCTCTACAGTCTAATGGAACAAAACACACAAATTCCTCACATTTACAAGGACTAAACAAATGTTGACACACGAGGACAAATCAATGCTCATTTTCTCCTAATCAGACTTTGCGCTGCAAAATATCCCAGTCTCATTTTCTGAAAAGACCGCACCTCTCACGCAATCAGCAGATATCGAGCGGCTCTTCGGCAGCGACCCAATTTTCACCAAAACTACATGCTAGAGTGCCATAATTTCACAAATATATCCAACACCTTGTAGCTTAACGCCGAGGCAATACCCTAACGTTCTCATCGGGTAAAAAAAACGCGCGCAGAAAACAGTTCCACAGCACAATTACAAACCTTACACAACCGGGAGTAACGAGGCACCACATCACCGACCCACCAATCCTGCACCTAGCGTTAATCCTACACTCTACGCAACTGCAGCAACTTTCTAAAACAGTCAACGCCGGAATCCTCTTGACCTTAGTCCGCCACAACAAGAGTTGTATGCTCTTTCTTTGCAACCAAAGCCTCATTCGTGATCAAATTTCCTAAGAAAAAAGAAGAAAAGAAAAAGAAAAAGAAAAAGAAAAAAAACTCGGCACACTTACACGTACGCGCGCACGGTCAAGACCTTTCACTCCTCCACAACTACAACTCATGTCTCTAGAGCACGAAATGCCGGCGATCCAACTACCACAAATACAACATACTCGCTACTCACTCAGTACTCCGCTACTTTCCGCGGAAAAAAACTAAAATCGAAATGAAACACCCGCGTCCAATAAGACTATCGAAACCTCACCACAAATCTAGAACGACACTAAGCACCGAAGCGGCACTTGCACCATGGGACACTCGCCGTCCAGAAGTGCACCGTCGAGCACGCCCCGAGCTCCGCCATCATCTCCGAATACCAAAGCTTCCATCACGCACGATCACGCTCAAAACCGCATTATCCCCTTCGAGAGCCTCCCGGTCGGTGTTACCGTCCGCTGGACGCCCGAGCTCGACTCACACTCGTGAAAACTCCCTGCTAAGTTTCAATTATGGAACTTCAATTACATTGTTTGTTAGGCCTTGAATGGTTTCCAGAATTGCTTTATTTTAATGTGGGTACCACAGTGCAGGACGGCAGAATCTTGGGGCTGCAGTTACTGCCCTTTTATAAGAACAGTCTGTAAATTAGATTCTTATTGTTTTGCCACTCCTTCAAAATTCTATCTTACCATCGGGAACTTCACACTCATTTATGACTTTTAGTCTATTTTAATTTGCCCTGTGTATCATGGGTAGTTATTGACAGATTCAAACAAGCAACATGACTTATACTTTGTTTTTGTTTTGTTTCCAATTTTTTTTAATAAAATGACAATAAATTTTCGTTTTCAGTTGTATTGGTTTTATATGAACTTGAATTGTCACAATTATGGATATTTGACTGATAGGGTTTTTTTTATTATTATCACTTCTAAACTGTCAAGGTTCATTCATGTCATCAGAATGCCATTCAAATGCAAGCAGAAAATAAAGTACCAAATTACAGCTATATGAGGATTCATGTCACTTCATTTAACCTTCTACCCACAAACAAACACATTCAATAGAGTGCTAAACTCTGCTTAGATTGATTATTATTATTACAATGTAGCCTCCTTCTCTGTCAGTAATATTACTCCAAATTTAGAAAAAATGAAATAAGAAAAAGTAAGTTTCTTGTCTTTCACTTTCAAAAGATTGGTGGCATTACCCAAACGTTGTACCCTAAAGCAACCCCTAGATTGATTAATTCTTCAGTACACTCTTGTGCAGCTGGAAGATTATTAGTGATTGGAGAATTAACCAATTAGTGGCATTCATTTTAAGTCAATGAAGGGGGGAGAAGATTGGTCAAACAAGGAAGTTGTGGAATGCATTCAAAGGCAAAATTAATACAACACATTATTATAGTTTTAAGAATCATGCCATACAATACATACTTAAATTTGGTGGGCAAATTTTAGGGCCTTCAAGGAGACAAGAAATACTTCTCTTTTGTATCACTATAGCTTCTACAGAAGATGTTCATTGAAAGCCTTGAAGAGTGAAACTTCAAAGGCAATTTTGTGATGTTTTCCTTTAAAAAAACAAAGTTTATACATACATACATACATACATACATACATGCATGCATGCATAATTTCATGTCAAAACTTGCAAGCTTTTAAGATTGAAATGGTCTGGTACATACACATACTATAAAAAAAATTATCATAAAAGTTATAAAAAAAACGTACATGGGTATATATTATGATTATTATTATTTATCAAATTCAGTAACACTTTCTTATAAAATGAAAACATATGTATAAAAAATATTTAATCACATTGAAAACTTCATTATGGGAAAATTTCCACAATACACAAAAATTGAGGATGGACACTAAAACCTGTTATTGATAATATTAATAATAATAAATCATGAAATTCTACTCAAGTTTAGGAGTTTCAAAATGAGCAGAATGTTAACAATCAAATGAGTTACAGGATTGTATTATTTTTGCAAAAAGGAACAGTAAACTTTAGTGAGCACTAACAAAGTGTTCTTCAATTGGCAACGTGAAAAGGCATCTACAAAATAATGTGGAAATAGTGGAATGTTTTCTATCCAATCTAGGGATACCGAAATTGAGCAACATGTATATTCCAACCAATCAAAGAATTTTAAAAAGTTGCACCCTCTTGACTAGTCCCCTAAGTATAAAGACCCCCTTAAACATTTCAAGGCAAAACTTGTGGCATCCCTCTATTCTTTAAACACACCTCTGTCCAAATCGAGACCCGGACCCACCCATTTCAAATATTTGCGGTCTGCGATACCCAGGGGGAAATAGGCCCCGGTCGCACGTTGTTTCTGGGTATCAATTGGGCTGATTCCCCGACTTCGTTTTCAATACTACAGTGGAGGAGGAGTACTCAAAGGGTTCACGATTCAGACGAAGGCTGCGGTGACCTTGCCAGCAGAGGCAAGGGCTGAAAGGTGCCGAGGAATCTCCGGTGCACGCGATAAATAGTTATTCTTCGGCGGCGTGAGGCGCGATAGCATGAACCGCTCCTTCCTCGTCCCAATTCGAGGGTTGTTGTTCCATATCCAGAATCTCTCCGCCCTGCTCGGTGGTGCGGCGAAACGCTCCTTGCGACGTTGCGATTGTCGGCTGTCTCCATGACGTAAGATTCATGTTTTCCTCCTCATTCCCACAATCCAGACCAGTTCGTGAACTGTTGTTGCCTTCGCTTACTTGCGGCTATCGCGTTGGCTTCGGCACCAATGCCCAAATTCGATCGCCGAGTTTCGGGATTGTGCCCAAAAGCATTTCGGAGAAAGTCGAGCAAAAAAGTCGTGTTTGTCTGGAGGCAGTTTGATGTGGATCTCCTGGTGCTGATGTCTGCAGACCGAGCAGATTCGGAAGAGCCTTTGCTTGTTGCCAAGGATTGAACACTGGCAAAAGACACGGGGAGTGAACCATCATTCACAAAGCAAACTGGCTCATTTACTCGAATTCCCATTTCGAAAGCGGGAATGGGGTGGCCACACAATTAAGTTAATTTTACAAGAGTGAGGTGGGAAAATCAGCTTGACTTGTAGAAACTTTGGTTGAAACTGATTTTGTTTAAATCCAAATTTTGTTGGATTCAATTGGGATCCCGTAAATATCCGTTGCTGTTGTTGGCGATTCTTCTTGTTCGGCTTTGTGTGTAAAAACGCTTTCAACCTATTTTTGATGCGAACTTGATTGGTGTGTTTGGGATAAGATATTCCATTCCTCGGAATAGACAAGTGTGGTGGGTTTTTGTGCACATTTTATTGTTTGAATAATTACGACACATTGAAAACTACGTGCAAACAGAAATAACCTGTATGCATTTGATCTACTTTCAAAGTTTGATTTGTTGAAGTAGTCATTACTATTAGTCCATGTATAATGGTAGTATACATTGATTTTCAAGTGTTGTGATTTCTATGTAGATAAACAAGGTTTGTGGTCCACAAAAAGATTACGATGCTCATGACCATCAAAGTCAACCAGGTGTGCATTCCAAGCCCAACTCTTGTGGATTATCCAAATCGTTGCATTATTATTATTATTATTATTATTACTATTTTTGGCATAATCTCATTCAACCGAAATCAATAAATTCAACCTATCAAATTGGACATGTTATTTACAGACAGTGAGAAAACCAATGTTATTAAAAACAATAGCAATAACACTATTTTCAACAACAACAACAATAATTTAATGTGGTATGTCAGTCTAACTCTCTAAGCAGAAGCTTCAGCCGAACAAATGAAGGGTTTCACACCGGGAAGTGTTTCCGGAGAATTAGCTCATTACCCAAGATGGTCAAACTTCTCCTACGGCACGGAATTGGGCCTTTCCAGCGTGGCACTTGGGGATAGGCAGAAGGGAATGACAAACCAACGTGGCAACCTTCTCGCTGTTTGCTTGATCTCACGCTCTCACATGCACGTTCCCAACCTTGCTTTGCAGCAAGATCTTTTCCTCGACCGTCCCGCATCGGAAACTGTTCTGTCGTGCGTGGAAGGGGGTGAAATTTATCATCCATCGAGAAGTTGGATATAAGGGTCGAGGTTTCTCATCCATCGAGCAGATGGATTCGGCAGAAACTCCCGCACGCGTTTCTCGAAAGTTCCTTAACCCAAAAGCTGCTGTGTGCACAAGTTTGAGTTATACGAAATGGCAATTATGTATGTGTGAAAAATATAGTTGCACAATTGGGAATATGTTGAAAGCTATTACAAAGGATATATTTCTTAAATAGGATCATATTTTTACCAAATATATACATTCTTGATGAAGAATATGAAGAATATGGCAATCATGATGAATGTGGTTGGTTTTTATTGGCTGCAGATCCAATAGTGGAGAAATGAATCTAGAGGTCATTTTTTTTTTTGTTCATGATGGTTAGGGTAGGTGGATAAATTTAGTAAAAACTTAGGTATATTTAAAATTTCTCTAAATATATATATATATATATATATATATATATATATATACATTGCCAAAATAAAATTGTCTACCTTGTTATTGAATTGACATATAGGAATTAATTGTAGGAAATTATTATCATTGTTAAAGAACAATAACATAGAGGAATGTTAAATAGTCCCAATTTTTTTCTAAATTTACCCACCCTTGATGAATAACATAGTAATCATAATGAATGTGATTGGTTTTTATTGGTTTGAGATCCAATAGTGGAAAAATGAAACTGGAGGTCATATATTTATTTATTTTCATGATGGTTAGAATGGGTTGATTTAGTAAAAACTTGGGTCTATTTAACATTCCACATAATATATTGTAAATCAATTTTAGGTACAATTCAATTTAGTTATTATTTTTTTTTTTTGTACGATGTTGCTTATTTCCCTGAATGCTACATTACTTGTAACATTAAGATCAAATTTTTGTTTAAAAAAAAAGATTGGTTACTTGAGAGATAAAATTAGATATATAAACATAATTTGACATTAAAAATATCAACAGTTTAACAAAGAAACACTTGAAAAATTGAAAGATCTTTATTTTTAAACAAAAAACTACAGAAACACATATTGTTTAGAATATAAGTAATGTTCCACAAGCCCATGATTTCAAAAAAAAAGAAGAAAAAAAAAAAAACTATTAAATCAACCTTAAAGATGCTAATATACAACATTCCAAATTATTTGACACCATTAAAAAAAAGTTTGAATAATTTATCAAACAATCATGCTGTGGAACTGAGTTTTTGTGGAATATATTATTCTACTCAAGAAAGTTCATGCAATATCAAAGGAATGAGTTGAAGCTTTACAGTGATATACTTCCCAACAGTAAAAATATGAGAATCAACAAATTTCACTTTTAAATTGAAACTACTTGATTGAACAATGATGTATAAAATTCAAGAATTAATTGAGTTTTTGATTATGCCTTGAATGATGAAATCAAACAAGAACTTTATATGAAGGATATTTTAAATCTTGATATAGTAAACATTGGCATATATTGTTAATGACACGATTGCAATTAATTCCTTTCTTGAACTTGTAATTGTCAAGATATAAAGTTATATTGTGATCCAAGAAGTAACTAACTATATTATGAAATTACTTTCTTAATTCAACACTAAAAATAACACTTATGAGTTTCTTGTAAGAATACATATCTACGGAGTCCATCAATATTATACTTCATAGATAAACTGAACACCATTTATTATCCCTCAAAGCAAAAGTATTTGCACTTAATAGCATTTGGAACAATCTTACGCTGTTTCTTTGTTGGTTTGAGTGATCAGTGATGGTTTTGAATCCACTATTTCACACAAATTTAAAATCACTACTTTTTTTCTTTTTGATTGTTACTTTGTTAGTATTGCTTTATTTTCTTTCTTTTGTAAATAATTTATTTTCTACAATATCAACTGATACATTACGACAAATTCATTGTTTTTATTTTTTATCCATCAAACCATTCATATATATATATATATATATATATATATAATAAGGGTAAAATTTTACTGATGTGCCTAATCAAACATATGAAAATGATTCTACCATGAAATTGATACAGAAAACAAACAAGTAACAAAATAAATTATCTTTTCTGTGATTTTTTTAATTTTATTTTCATTTTTACTGAATTTTGCCATCCTGTTACGTAGTCATTCTTTTGCTTTTCATGCATCACAATTTATTTTAAAAGTTCAGAAATAATGCCCACATGTGCATCACTTACACACAAAACTTGGGTCCTTTCCCCAGCTTTGAAAGTATGGTTTTTATTTATTTTTAATTAGTTTTTTTTAATGTTTTTAAAAGAGGGTGGAAGAAGTTGTAGTGTGCCCAAGGACGTGGGTCTGAGGACTGTGCTCAACCATATACAAAGTTTGTTGAGTTTGTTAGAACATGGAAGTGTGTCCAGTACATCCGACACAAAACTAAAAACATATAAAATGACGTAAACTAAGTAATTTAAAGACTTGAAATGTAGTTAAATGATCTTCCATGCAGTCAACTCAATCTGCCATCATTCTCCAATTGTTTTCAGGGATAACCCACATTTTAACCTACACTTATAACACAATTTGTAGGTCTCCCACAGCTAGCCTTGCAGAGCACAAAAACTAGGGTTTACTGTATGATATTTAATACAAAAGATTTAATTTTTGTTTAAGATTATAGGGTAGTAAATTCACCATGTAAAGTAAGTTGTTTTAGGGATAGCAGAGAACTAGTTTGTCATCCACACTGAACATGACTTTATGAAGGGTATTTGTGGCTATTGTTTTGGGTTTAAAACTAAGTAGCCCAAATTCCATCAATAACATTAATTACCCAGTACAAATCCAACATGGATGCATTGCAACATTTGACATAAAGGGATAAATAAGTGTTGGTACTACACCAATTAACAAAGCAGAATGAAAGGACTTTTTAGTTTTAGTTTTTTTAGTTTTTTTAGTTTTTAGTTTTTTTTTAGTTTTTTTTTTTTTTTTAATAGTTTTTTTGCAAAGATCCATAAACCATGTGCATGTGCAAGCACACACCAACAAAGGGAGGGACCCATTTTCGGAAGCAAGTTTTTTGTTGAGGGAATTGCCTGCCATTTGGCTGTGTCCCCTTCCCCCCCTGCACAATTCAGCAAAACAATTCTAAGCACCCCCTCATTTCTATAGAATTCCAAAAAGTTTGTGTGTCCCAAGGACAGTTCCAAGCCCACCTCTCTTCCACACACATGAAAAATAATAAAACAACAAAAATAAAAACCAAAATAATTTCGTCCAGACTAGTCTTGTACCACCATTCCCATGCTCCCATGTTCCCAACCTCTGTGCCCTTGGAAAAAAAATTATATATATATTAAATAAAAATAAAACACTGTGGAGGGTGGGTGGCCAATTTGCTGTTGGTGAAGTAACAGTCTGTGAGTGAGTGAGTGGGTGTGTGTGGGAGTGTGTGTGTGAGTGTGTGAGTATGTGTGAGTGTGGGAGTGTGTGTGTGAGTGTGTGAGTATGTGTGAGTGATTTGCCCACACTAATTGGGCCCCAAGTTGGTTGGATGTGTGGGGTGCTTATAAACAAATGGTTTTTGGGGGGATTGTCTGTAAGGGAAGCCCCATCCTCTCTTGGAATACACACATGATACAAATGTATGTCACAACTTGCCAAAACCCTGAACCAGAAAGTGATGCAAAAAATTGGTAGTACTATTGAGTGGGTACAAGTGGCAAACAAAAACAGTTTTAAGGATGACTTCATTGGCTTTTTTGTAACGTCCAAAAGTAATGGGGAGTAGGAAGTTGGCCTATGCTGGTAAAACAACATTTCCAAACAAAAGGAATAATAACTGCAGTCACTTTGTGACGATGTTCTATGTAATGCATGTAAATCTGTTAGGGAGACAAGGTGCAAGGATGTAAGCATTCAATTGTATGAGTATTTTTTTTCTATTGAAGTTGAGAAGGCTCTGAATTTTAGCCAATCAGAGTATTGGACAACTTGTGGGCTCTTATCCTCTCCCCTTGTACAATAAATTAAATACTCCTGCATATTTTTAACATTTTTTAACATTTTTATTCTTATTTAATATATAATATATAAATATAATTGTAACTTATAAACATGAAACTGAAACATCTAGTGTAAATGAAAACAATTGCTTGCAATTAAATAGTAAAAATTCCTTTGTAGATATGTTTGGAGATCTTTTTTCATTTTACTTTACCACTTCTTCAGTACCATTGTTAATAATAGGTATAAAAATATATACAATAATTTTGTGAATTAGAAGAGTGGAGAACTCTGTGTGTACATGACCCACTCTATGTAAACATGAGTTTTTAATGCCATGATTCAATGTTCTTAATATATATTTTAAAAAAAAACGTAATTAACTACACATGGATATTAAAAAAGTAATGGACATTAAATACTAGCACAGGAGATGCCTTACTGAGGTTGTCCCCCTCCCCCCCCTCTTGTGAACAATACATCCTCCAATTATTGTATAAATGACCTAATCTCTTCAATTTCCAATTTGACTCAAGTTTACAATTGCTGTATTGTATTCACATATTTCTCCCCTCAATATAAATCTCAGTTTCAAAAAAAAAAAAAAAACGCATCATAGATGCCCCATTTAGGCTCCACTATCCAACAGCACTGAGTAAATAGTTCTAATTGAGGTGCATTCATTTGTAATTTGTTTTTCTAAAGTTCATAACTATTACAACAACTACTAAAACTTTGGAGATATTAGTTACAAAAGTAGAAGTTTTACCTCAAAAAAGAAAAAAGAAAAAGAATTAGTGTGAAGCTTTCTCCAATGCCAATTGGGTTCCATGGAAAATAGCCCCCGAAGAGGATCACATGATGTCTGTTGCGTCAGAAACTGTGGCTGTTACTGCAGTTGTAGAGGCTTGGGTATTTTTTTGCACATGAGGGTGTTGCCTCCATGTCTTGGCGTTGATGAGCGCCGAGGTGTGTGAAGATGTCAATTGCACAGGGTTAGTGCATAAACTCACCATTATTGCCTTTCCTCCGTGAGGCACCCATAAATGGCGTGATGAATGCTCCAGGGATGCGTGCTGGAGGAGATGATCGCAAATAACATGTGAAGTTGGGAGCTTTGTAATGCGAAATTAAAACACAGGAGATTCAGTTTCAAGTGTACATCGGTTGCTGTCCCCAGTTGCTCACCAAGTTACTCTTCACACGAAGTCGATGAAACCTAAATTATTTTTTTATTTTTTATGTGTCGTCACTCTATTATCTCCGAAGTAGAGTGGACCGAAATGTTAACTGTGCAATACATTCAATAGCATGACACAAAATCTCACGAGATGCATTTTATGATTTGGGATTTGTGACACGATTTTGTAAAAAAATTGACCATGTCAAGTTTATGTGCAAGTGTTGACTACACATGAGGAGAAGTCTGTGCGTGCCTCATAGGATCCTACCCAAGTTGCTTATCCTTAATTGTTGGTTTGTTTGTTTGTTGCTGCTGTCCTCCTCAATGCTGTTGAACATTTCTATTTTCAGTTTGGGGGATCTGTCATAGCTGGCTGCAATCACGTGTGGTGATGAAGGTGCGTAAGCAGCTACGGTGGAGTTAAGCGGACTTGAAACGATGGTTGGTGCGGCAGTGAGGTGCGTGCATAGAGCACGGCAGAAAGTTTGCTTTTGCACGGCCGTCTGCCTCATGTGGGTTCCGATTGATGTTCTCCACTCCAGTATTATCGTCGTATTGTACGCGGAGATCAATGAACTAAATCAGGTTTAGGTCCACCCTCTCATCAGAATTGCGGTTACAAAGAGTGGCCATCAAGTGAACACGATTATGCAACATGAGTAATCGAAGTATGGATGGGAGTAGGACGGAGGATTCGGCTGATGAAACCAATGGGTTGGCTTCGAAATTCGTTGGTTAATGGTTCACTGACAACTAAGAACACCGTAGATATCATTCAGAAACCAGTACATGACAACTCGGATCTTCACAACCTAGCATCAGTACCGGTTGCCACACCATAGATAAGACTAAGGAAACGCCCTTTGCCCTGGTTCTCTGTGTGGAACCTATGCCATTCACTATTGAGTGCTTGGAACCATTTATTGCCTCAGATCATAGCTCTCATCCTGCATCGGATCTCCCGCAACTGGTTCTTAAAACACCGGAAATAACACATTCATGGTAGGAACCCACTTTCATAGAGTCATCTTCGTAATCTGGCACCCATGAGTCGGCTACACAACCTCTCAAACAGGCTGAAATTGCTGCATTTTCATAAGGAAATGATTTATAACCTGATATTTGCGGTCATTGCCACCACATATTGATGTGAGGATGTAGCTGAAGATATCTCACTAAAACAGTGGAGACATACATTTCCGGAGTGAAGTAAACGATTTGCACACGGATATGTCCAGGAGACTGGACATCGACGTAAATCGATCAATGATAGTCTTCGTCATGTTCCTCCCGAACTTTTCTCTGCAATTACCGTCGGAAAGCACCAAAGAAGTTGCGGAGAAGTTAGGAACCATGAATTTGCAACTAGGTTACCTATGCTTTCAAGGTTTACACAATCCTTGGGGCCACTTTGCTGCAAGAGTGGCTGATATATCGACTCAAACCATAGCTGCTCTGACAGAGTGATCGATGTTTGCAAACACAATGTTTACAACGCATCGTGATCTCTGCATCTGACACCTTCACAAGGAAGATGCAAAAAAATCGCTGCAGGGACCAAGTAAGTGCAACGATTTCCACTCCAACAGTTGAACTCCCACGTGCATTGCATTGCTGCTGTTCCGTTACACCCGATCAACTCTTTCAACCCATATCGAAGTTCGTGACCAAGTCACGAGAGACTAGAATCTGTCAGGTTTCATCGGGAACGAGCACAACATGCATGTTATTCTTGGACTTTGCCTGCACCCTGTGATCCCTGCAACACAAAGTCCATCCAATTACAAAATTTGCACTTTTATGTGTAAGGGAGTGAACCAAAGTATGTTTCGAATTTAGCTTCACTCTTGCCCACCAATCATGCATGGAAGGAGGCCCTAAAGGAGCAAATAGGTTGTCATGTTAGGAAAGTGATGATCACTACAACTTGATCACTTCACAATTTTAATTCAAAATTTGATCCATTTGGTACACAATGTGGTTCATTCTAAATAAAAGGTCATAAACATATACTAAACTGCAATAGTTAAATATCACAAGGAGCTCACTACTCCAAAAAGCTTTGAATCCTAAAAATTTAATGAAATTAGTAGAAATGCAATGACTAAGACTAGGGTGATATGAAACTTCATTGTGTATGTGATGATCTTTAGGAAGCCTACAAAAAAAAAACAACTTGTACAAAGATAATGATATTTTATTTTATTTGACATTTCATTATTGTTGCTAAGAATATAAATCTTGGTACTTTTATTGTAAGTTGTTTTTATGTAAGTATGTCTTTTTACTGGCTACTTAAGTATAAAATAGTAATTAAAAAACTTAAGATATGATGGTAAATTTAGCAATTGTAATGTAAGATGTTTTTTTGTGAACTATGACTAAAGTGATTACTAATCTTATATTCTATATATATATATATATATATTTATTTATTTATTTAAAAAATTACAATTGAAAGATATAGATGGTAGATAGGTTTTTGATACATTAAACTAACCAAGAATCACAATTAAGTATTTGAAATTTTTGATATTTTGATAAATTATTTATTCAATTATTATATTATTTATTAATTTTAAATATTGATATATTGATGGATTATATTTTGGATTATAAAGATAAAAATCAAGGCTAGTATGTACGAATTAAAATTTCTAAGTATATTATATAGTATATAAACTATTTGCTAACTTTATAACTGTTTCAACCAAGTAACACATTACACATAGAATCAAAATTTTTATTGTATTTAAAAATATATATTAAATATTTATGATAAAAATTTATTATTTAAATTTACATATATAGAAATTCCTATAAGTATTTAATAAATTATGTAAATTTGGATATTTTACAAAAATAACTATATTTTTATTATTAAAAAAGTTGATAAATATATATATATATATATATATATATATATACATATACACACACACACAAATATGTTTAGTTTTAAAAACTTTATAATTTGATTTAAACAATCTTACATAAAAAGTATAAAGTATGATACAAAAGAAATCTTATTATAAATTCTAATTACATTTCTTATAATAGTTTTAAAGCTACTATTTAAAAAAAAAAAATCCTCCCAATCAACAAGAACAAAAGTATAATATTAGTCTTCCTATTAAACTTAAATTTGCAAGGCTTTTTTTCTCAAACTTAAATATTAATGTCAACTATTGAGGTTGTTCCATTTATCAATAACTTTTAAAATATTTTTTTTAGTTCATTTAGAATGGTGTCTAATCATATATAAAAAAAATGATCACAAAAAAATGATGTTCCAATAAAATTTTAATTATCGAGATCAATATATTGGTTTGCTTGTCAAACATATATTGTAAAATAACATACTAGCTTATACTAACTGATGATAGCTATGAAGAAAATTCTTTGTGAGGTGTTTGTGTTAAATGTTATTAAACTTTGCACTTATTTACTTAATTATTTTTTTGTTCATCAAAATAAAGTTTTTCTAAAAAAACATTGTCAACTAATATTTAAAATACCAAAAGATTTACAAAGGATAAGTGCTCTAGCATTGTTGTATAAAATAAAATATTCAATGAATATAAGTTTAGGTTGCCACATAAATTACCACAAGTTAATCATCAAGACAATAATAATTATCCACACATGTATCAATTTTTAAAAAAACACAAACAAACATACAAAATTTCGTAAATGTAACATAATTTTGAAATTTTGAAACGCGCTCGCAACTTCCGAGGCAGACCTCGCGTGCATGCGGGTCTGGGGCAGGAAGAACAAACGCCTGAACATTCGGGGAAGAAAGTCATCGTCATCGTAGTCGTCGCAGTCGGTAAATTTGGAGTAGTGGGTGTCGGTGAGGAGCCGATTTCGAGCTCAATTTAGTCGCCGAGCGAGGTTGCAATCTGCCCTTTTCAGTTTATTTGTTTATTTGTTTTTTTTTTTGTTTTTTTTGTTTTTCAAAAAAAAATGGCTCTCATGTTGTTGCTGGGTGCTTGCCTCGTGGTCTCCGTCGTCGGCGTCAGCGCCCCCAGATCACGAGCTTGGGAGTCCTCCTCCTCGTCGTTGAGCTTCGCTACGCAGGAGCCGCGTTGTTACCTTGACCCCAGGTTCAACCCGACCTACGAAATGCACTACAACACGGACGTTCTGTGGCAGATTCCCGAGAGCCCGAGAGGTGTGATGTACTTGGCCCATGGCCGGTTCCTGGACATTTTCTCCTTCTTCGATCGGTCTCCGGGGTGTGAGCGCTGCTACGGCCTCCCCGAAGACAGGGCTATTGTTCTCGACGCCTTGGACCGGAAGTATGCCGTCATTGTGGTCAAGAGCTTGGGAGATGAGTGGGACTCATGGCCGATCGAAACTTCGAAGGATAAAGTGGTAGTGACGAGCATTGTCACAGATTGGGTTATGGAGCATGGTTTGGATGAGCTGCCAATGGTCGGATTTGGGTACTCCTCCGGCGGGAACTTCACCTCCATGCTGTCGCCGATTCTCGGCATGAAATCCATTGTGAGTTGATTTTTTTGCACTGAGCACCTCTCTGTGATTTGTTTGCCACAATCGCATGGTCTTTCTGTTTATGTTCTCGTTTGACTTAAGTTTTAACACCGTGATCTCTGTGGGCCTTGTTATCAATCGTATTGGCTAAGGTCAGCTGAATAAGGATCCCATCAACTTTCACATGATAAGGAACCGAGAGTGGATTGAGCTCAGATGTGACTTAAAAATGCGAATGACTCTTAAATGTTCCATTTCTTGTTGCTCTTTGCTGATTGCAGGTCATTCTTGATTCTCCGGGTGTATATGAAATATTAGAGAACGCAGATGCGAGCTATCCTCCCACTCTATATTTTTACATGCCCAAGGACCCTTTCTTCACGAGTCAAATTCTCCGAAATGTAGAGTTGATGAAATCGCGAGGGGTGAAAGTTGAGCACGTGCCCATGCTCGAGTTTCCCATTATTCTCGAGTTCTTCGCCCTTCGGAACCCCTGCATCAGCAACGAGACGTCGAGGAGTATCTTCAGAGCACTCTTGAACGCAAAACTTCTCGACGAGAACAACCTTGTTACAATCAGTCCCTGGGAGTTCGACTACAACTCTTGGATTGAAGAGAATGATCTTCTCTCAGGTTGCATCCCCCACACTTGTCTGTCAGAGCAAGTTGTGCAAGAGCTGAACATTGCATTTGCTTTCCATTCCATGAGTAGTACAAAGAACGATATTATGTTTGACTGGTTTGAGTCATCCCTAGAATCTGAGGTAGTAAATCCTATGCTTTCAAACGTTTAGTTGGTGTGAGGTTGTAAATGCTGGACAGAGACTTATTTCAGGATCGGTGCGAGATTGTGGAGCTTTCTCCTATGTGGTCCATTCCATGTTGACATCAGTAGTCCATGGTTTTGATTTTCTTTTTATAAAAAGCCCGCTGAAATTTCAGATAATAGATATCCCATTCTGTGTTCATTATGTTATTTCAGCCGTAGCTTTATTTTAGTCTTTCATTCCCTTGAAGTAGTCGAGCAAGTCGGTTAATATAATCAATCAGGAATGTACTTAAATCTGCGTCTAAATCTTATATCTGTGGGCATTGGAATGTCCAGTGTCAATCACACTGAAGGTCAAGCAACTGTAGATGCATCATTGTCAACTCATGCTGTGACTGCAACACCGTTCTATCGCAATCATTGTGACTAGGTTTCGTTTGAATGGGTGTGGCCCTGTATTATTGGGCAACTGCAACTTCAATTGAATCTTGGTGTCTGCATCGGTAGACTAAACAAGACTACTATAGACAATTTTTTCAGAAACTTCATGCTTAATTAGTTAACACGAAAAGATAGCGTCGGCACGCTCAGTTTCGACGAATTGTGCATGAAACAGTTGAGAAAAACAGGCTGCATCTAGACATGGCGAGTATGAAGGTTTCGAACTTTCGTCTGAGTTGCGTATGCGACCTGTCTGCATGAAATCAAAGCTTGAAGTCCTCTCAAGTAGAAGAGCGTCTTAACGAAAATTTAACATTATGGGTGCTTACATAGATAGATACAAATGTTGAACCCTCCGCGATCCAAATCTGATGACATACTGCGCACACAATCTAACTAAAGTATACTACACATACTCTACAAAATTTCCTCCCCGGTGGACAGATGAATAACTTTTGTCCCAACAGTCACGAAATTATGGACCTGGCAAATTAGTACAATTTCGAATAGTCCAGTGCAACATTGGCAAGGCTGTTGAGACTATGTTTGGTGGGTTACTGAAATTGGATTGGCCTCTGTCAATGTGAGTGGAGATTCTGTAAGCGAACCAGGTTGGCGTAAGCACCATCTGGGATGGCAAGGAGGGTATTATGGGATCCTTCCTCAACGACTGCGCCGTCTTGGATCACCGCGATGGTGTGAGCATTCCGGATGGTCGAGAGCCGATGCGCCACCAATACTGAAGTTCGACCCTTCAGGAGGCGATCCAATGCTTCCTGAACAATCTTTTCAGACTCGGCATCGAGGGCGCTTGTTGCTTCATCCAGCAGCAGCACCGCGGGGTTTTTCAATACAGCACGAGCAATGGCGATGCGCTGTTTCTGACCACCAGAAAGTTGCACCCCTCGCTCGCCGGCGGAGGTGTTGTAACCATCAGGAAGAGCAGTAATGAAGTTGTGTGCATTCGCTGCCATGGCTGCGGCCTGAACCTCCTGCTCGGTTGCACCCTCTCGTCCGTATGCGATGTTTTCGTAAATTGTGGTGTCGAAGAGCGTTGGCTCCTGAGAAACGAGCGCTATACGCCTCCGTAAGCTTTTCAAATTGAGCTTGCGGATGTCTTCACCGTCAACAAGGACGCGTCCTGATAAGGGATCGTAAAACCTCTCCAAGAGTGCAATGACGGTGCTCTTCCCGGATCCACTGGATCCAACCAGGGCCAGAGATTTCCCTGCCCTTACCATTAAATTCAGGTCCTTGAAAATCACGGCATCGGGTCGCGTTGGGTACGCAAACGTCACATCCTTCAGTCGGATTTCCCCTCTCACGGTTTGGACAACTTCAGCCTTGGGATCATCAGCGTCGATCTCGGTGTTGCGATCTAGGACATAGAACACGGATGACAACGCTTGACCCCCCTTGATCAGATCAGGTGCCAATGCCAGCGTCTCGGCTATGGCGTAGGCAGCAATAATGAGTACCATGAACACTTGGATGATGCTCTTAAAGTTGGATTCCCCTCTCTTCACCAGCTGAGCACCATACCATAATCCGAGTGCGTAGGAGCTGTACAGAAAAAATTGAGAAATCCCGTACGCAAGTCCAGCAACCTGGCCACGCACAAATCCACGCCTCATCGGAGCCCTCAGTTCTTGTTCAAAGAGCTTCACTATTCTATCTTGGGAGTTGAATGCAGCAATGGTTCGGATGTTGATTACCCCCTCCCCAGCTACCATGCTGGCCCGAGCTTGTGCGGATGCAACGTCTCCAGAGAATCCCTTCAGAAATAGGTGCTGCACGTTTCCATTATGTATTGGTTTAAAGTTTATTTAACCACAAGGTGATGGTGAGCTACTGAATATAATTGAGGAGGGTCACCATTTCATAGCTGCGTGAACAGAGGCGATGAGCCTGAAGTTCTTACCTCCACGAACGTAGCGAACACTTGTAGCGGAAGTGTACAAAGGACAACAAAGGCCATTTTCCACTGCAACGAGAACGCTATGATGCAAATCGCCACCATGAGGGTGAAGTTTTGAACGATTATTGAAATTCGGTCGCCGATGGCACCCTTCACTGTGGTAGCGTCCGCTGCTAGACGTGCGGACACTTGCGAGCTGTTGTTCTCATCGGCGTCAAACCAGCCCACCTCGTTTGTTAGGATACCTACACGCCCACCCCCATGCAATTAGATAACACGCAACAAAGTACTTGCGTGTTGTGCGCGCGAGTACGAAACGTCCGCAAAGCATCTGCTGTACTGGCGGGATATAGTGAGAACCTACGAGCAAACATCATTTCCCGAATACGCTTCACCAGATTCTCGCCCATGACGCCAAAAAAGGTGTGCTGGAGGAAACTTCCAATAAGAGCAGCGACTCCGAGAGAAATCACGATCAATATGAACTTGTCAATCTCTTGCTTCATGTGATGGTTACTGGTACCGTAGTAAATGTAGACGACATTGCTAATAACAAGACTGAACCCTGGGTTCACGAGGCCCATAATGACTGAACCTACAATCGCCAGAAATCCGTAGGCCCACTCAGGCTTGTTCAACTTCAGCAACCGCCACATGGTGGCAGATTGGGGCGGCACATTGTCTTTTCTCTTGAACGAGCCGCTCTCGCCATCCGAAGTCAGTGAGCTTTGCTGCCGACTCAGTCGCCTACTCGACAACCTGCCGGAGTAGTCACGGATTGACTTGGATTTGGCCATCATATCGTTCCTGTCGTAGAAACGGACCGTTTCTTGAAGACGGACAAGCGCGGCGTAGGCGCCGTTTTCTTGCGTAATCATGGTCTCGTGATCCCCCATTTCGACAATGACACCATTCTGCACAACTGCAATGGCATCCGCGTTTCGAATTGTGGAGAGCCTGTGGGCCACCACAACTGTAGTACGTCCCACCATCACATTGTCGAGCGCCGCTTGCACGATCTGCTCCGAGCTCGCATCCAAGGCGCTCGTTGCTTCGTCCAGGAGGAGTATGCTGGGGTTCTTCACGATTGCTCTCGCGATCGCTACGCGTTGCTTCTGTCCACCTGACATTTGAACCCCATGCTCACCAACCTGTTCGACATTGACACGGAACCACTTCATCAGTTTCCATGATGAAATTCTCACTACTTCGTTCCTCGCAAATCCATGAGTGCAAATCACAGATGCAGATCAAGCCTCAGTTGTACCTGCGTGTTGTAGCCTTGTGGAAACTTCGAGATGAACGAGTGAGCGTTGGCAGCTCTGCAGGCATCCTCAACTTCCTGGTCAGTCGCATTGGGGTTGCCATATAATATGTTTTCCTTGATGCTCGTTGCAAAGAGTGCAGGCTCTTGATTTACGAGCCCAATTTGGCTGCGGAGCCACTTGAGGTCAATATGTTTAATGTTTACCCCATCCAGCAGCACTTCACCTGACATCCCAAAACTCTCGAATTAGATCATGACCCTCTTCGATCCAAACTGTCCGGAACTGGCGCACGGTTGTATCCTCGAAACTTTCTACGACGTCAACATGTTTAAAAGTCCTTGCAAATCTGCTAGATTGGAAAGCTAAAATGCAGGGAATACTCACCTGCGCTTGGTTCGTAAAACCTCTCTATCAAAGAAATGACAGTGCTTTTGCCGGACCCGGAGCCTCCGACAATGGCGACCGTCGAGCCTGCAGGAATGGTGAGTGAAAAGTCACGGAAGATGGGAATATCAGGTCGTGAAGGGTAACTAAACTCGATGTGTTTGAGTTCAATCAACCCTTGTACAGAGGCAAGCTTGGTCGCAGTGTCGGTGTCAACGCCGATTTTGGATTGTTGTTCAATCAATTTAAATATCTTAAACGCTCCTGCTTTCGCCCTCGCAAAGGCTGTGATATTCGGCGCCGCTTGACCCAACGAACTGCGCGAAGGAAACCATTATTTGCCTCACATGTTGAGCCCAACCGAGATGAACGATATCACAAAAAACGAGACTTGAAGATTGGCAGAAACTCAAGTTGAAACTGTTCAACCGGATTCTTACATTCCGGCTATGACGACTGCGAAGATTGTTGCGAGAGTCTTCCCCCCGTTCGCTTCCCCATTACGAACTAGCACCCCACCGTACCACAACAAAAGAGCGTATGCACAGAACAGTATAATCTGAATGGAGCCTATGCCAAGGCCCATTGCAAGACCGCTCTTGTAGCCCAGCTTCAATGTCCCCCGAAGAGCATGAGAGAAAGCCTCCAGGGCCTTCTGCTCCCCTACAAACGAGTACACCGTCCTCACATTCGCAAGATTCTGCGGTTACCACAAAAAAGCCAACCATGCTTGTGATGTGAGTGATTACTCATTTCAGAGGCTGATTCTTGTGAGTTAAATTCATGAGCTCAGAGGTGAGAGAAGTGTGTGCGTGATCACTACACCTGTTCTACAATGTTGCCAGCTTCTTCGTAGGCTTTGCGGTTCCTCGCTGTGAAATTCGTGATTATGTAGGCGTAGGAGCCTCCAACGATGGCTATGGCGGGCGCCACTGCCAGGGTGACCAAGCCAAGCTTCCACAGCATGGAGAATCCCACAGCAAAACCTCCGATGCAAGTGCTAATGTAGTGGAGGAATTGTCCCATCTGCAAAAAGGATTTCAAAGAAACTGATGATAGTTTTCACGGCTCATGCCTGTCACAATCTGTGCCGACAATCGCATCAGAATGCGTTCCGACGAAAGAGTTTTGAACCATAATCTAGACAGGAATGAGAACACACCTTTTCGCTGATGGCGTCTTGAATGAGGAGCGTGTCCGTGGAGATGCTGTCCACTACCTCGCCAGTTCGTGCGTCGACATCGAAATAGCTGATGTCCTTCTTGAGCATGGACTGGAGATACAGCACCCGGATCCGAGCTGCTTGTCGCTCTCCTGTTTGCATCCATGCAGCCACTTCTGCCCATGACGCGAACCACACCACGATTCCAAGGTAGACCATGTACACTGCATACTTATCGACATCTTCCGCGGTCCTCTTAGGATTGTTGATATTGGCGCCGAATCCGTCAATCAAGTCTCCTAAGAAGAGCAAGAAGATAGGCATGGATAAGCCATGAACAACAGCAGCCAAGGCGCCGGTTGCTATCAAAAAACAGTCCAAGAGGTCCGCATAAGTGAAGAGCCGGAAAAGGGATACTGATCCTTCCGGACGTTTCTCGCCTTTAGCTGAATCAGATTCGGATTCTTTCCCAACGACGTCCACGCTATCGATCCCTCCATGGCCGTTCTCATGGCTCCCATTGTTTCCTGGTTTCGAGTCTTGGCTTCTGTCTGTAGATAAAACCTCATGCTGCAAGCCTACTTGGTCTTGTTCTTTGGCCGAGGTAAAAGAGTTGCTGTTACCCGCGAGAATCTCCGAGTCGTCGTCTTTGCTTCTACCCATGATTCCGCTGCGTCTTGTTGCAACTAATCGTCAACAAATGCTTCTGAACTTTTGAACTCTGCAAGATCTCTCCGAAGCTCGATTATGAGAATCAACGGTACCAGCAACTGCCTGTGATTGTTCTATAGGTCAATCCATTAGACATTACAAGATCTAGCTCGTAAACTTCGGACTCCAAATGCAGATGGTCAGCTATAGAAGCTGCTGCAGTACTGAAACGTGCGATCAATTGGCACTCTCTCTCTCTCTCTCTCTCTCTCTCACGGCTGAGACGTTAACAGTCACGACGACTTGCTCACTACTGATCTTCGAGTAAGGCCTGAATTACACTACTGTCGCTCAACTTGCTTGAACCAAAGAATACTCCGCACCCTCACACACACACACACACATATATATATATATATATACACACACACACACATCCGATAAGAGACTGTGTAGAATGAGGGTGATCGACATAAATCAGTTTGAAGATCAGTCTCACAAGCTTCAACTTGCTCTGACTTACACTGTGCGGAGATTTCACGGCACATTCTGCTGAAACCGAGAGGCAATTGGCGTCTTCCACCAGGAGGTTGTAGCATAACCACACACATTGACCTGGTGTCTCGCACCGCGAAACCTTACCAAGTACGTATCTTAAACCTGTCGAATGTGCACCGTGCAAGCAAATGCATACATGAGGGACCCAGAGATCACAGTCCACAACTCTCCAACCTCGCAGAAGGCCCCAGATGACTTCGTTTGCTGTTTCGGATCATCTTCTTCTCAGAAAAGGACAGCGGCGGTAAGGCACTGATTCAGACGCACAGTCTTCGCGAATGGCGTTAGAATCGAAAGAATGGAAGGGAACGGCGCGGGGGCGTGGATGGACTTGGCTGAGAAACAAACGGACGCCCCCACCACATAGAAAGTTGGCGTTGACGCCGTAAGCGTCACGGGATCACAGCAACTGATAATTCCGAGTCACCGCGGTGGCTGAGTCGACGGATTGAGCGCAGGGACCACGGCACAGGTACAAACACACACACACACACACACACAGTGCAGCATGAGACAGAATCTAGATGGGAACAGTTTTACCTCATGGGCCAGCAGCATTCGGCATCAGCAATGGACTCCGACGATTTGTTTAATTGCAATTCTTCCACACGAGCACCTGGCTGTCGGGATTCTCCTGTGCGCCCCCGGATTCTGTAGAACGACCGCCCAAAATCCGCAGACGCAGCGATGGCGCCGGATCTATTCCATGTGTATCCATGAATTCTACGCCGTGCCACCCCCCCACACACACATCTGCTGCGAAATTCTTTGCTGTTGCACTTGCTGCTGCTATGTTTGTTTGTGTGTTTGTTTGTTTGCACCTTCCTTCCTTATTTGATTGTTGTTGTTGTTTTTGTTGGTGCGGAGTTCTATCGTTAGGTCGAGAAAGCTGGCTGCTTGGTAGCTGCAGGAAGGTTCGGAGGCAAATTGGGCATGACCATAAACCTGGCTCATTTAGCCGTTGTTTGATTGTATTATTCTAAAACTCCTTCACAAGCCCACTTTGGTTTTCTTTGAACATCCATAAAAAGTTTTATTTTATCTTATTTTTATATTTGTATTTTATTTTACATATCCACGTTGATTTTCTTTTCTTCAAGTGCCCACAAAGGTTTCATTTTTTTTCTTCACACATCCACATTTGTTTTTCTTTGCTTTCGACACTCACATTGGTTTACATTTGTGCTGTTGTGTTGTTGCTGTTAAGGCAGTCTGTTGCACCACAAGCTGTGCGATAAAAAGGGCTTGTGCATTGCTTACTAACTCGAGCTCTGAGATCTTGATGCTCATGTTCTTCTCATCGAAGGTGGATCGAAATTGTTGGGATGCTAAGTGGAAAATTCAAACTGAATTGTGTGCATGTGGTGGTGTGATTTAGTTCATGATCTCTTTCGTATCTCTCGTATGAACATATTGACTACATGATTGTAGGATGAATTTTTCCAAAGTTTTCTTTTTTCTTTTTTCTTTTCTCTTTTCAACCAAATTAAGCTAAAGTTTGAAGGTTATCTTCTGCATCAAAATTAAAACTTGTGCATCAAAAACAATTGTGTGAATAGATTTGATAAGGAAAAATAACATACTTGGTAATAGTGGTGGCTCATGTAAATTTTACTAATTGTATTTTGTTGTTTCATCATATTTTCTTAATTCTTATAAATGTTTTCGGTATCAAAAAGTGTGTGTGGTTTAACATGGTAAATATATTTTAACATATTGATTTTGCTTTAATCAACTTCCAATCTATAATTGAGAGAAAGCATCATTATTAGTACAGAACTTTAAATTTTTCAACAGTTTAAAAACATTTGTATTAGAATTGCAGAGAACATTTGAAAGTATTGTCTTATTTATTAAAAAGTCTTAATCATGCAATTAAGACAATACTTTCAAATGTTCTCTGCAATACTAATTGGAATGTATTAAAAAATACTGATATAATTTAATATACTTTAAAGAAAAATACAAATGATTTTTTTCTTATGATTTTAAACATTAATGTTCTAAGTAGGTTTATTGCACAAGATGTTGCATGTTATTAGATTAGAAGCAAGATTAGATAGATGATTGGAAATAAGACAATACTTAAATTTCTCCAAAACCTATGTTACCCAGACTAAAGTATCCCTCATGTTGTTGATTTATAAATAGTAAAGCAACTCGTAGGAGAATTTTGATAAGCTTTGGAATATTTTAGAAGTTAAAAGTGATTCAATAGGAACTTCTAGACAACTATAGGAGATCTTAGATGGCTACAAAAGACTAAAAAAAATACTCTGAATTTTTTTATAAATAACTAGGAGTTTTGGAATCTAATGTAAGCTTCTAAATGCTTTTGAAGATTTACAAAGTGATATAATTATCTAAAAGGTTTTAGAAGATTTTAGGGGATCCAAATAATATTTAAGTTTGTTGTGTGCCAATGATACAAGTTATTGTTTTTATTTCTTTCTTGAATATAAGCTTAGTATAATTCAATAATATATATATATATATATATATATATATATATATCAATTTTAATATTTTGTGTCTTTAAAAAGTATGGATTTATAAATCTGATAAATAAATATATATATATATATATATATATATATATAATATCAAAAGAAGTAATATAAATTCAAGCATTAATTACATGCATCAGGATGAAATACAATCTATATTAGCTCTATGTTTTAATATATTTTTTACCATACAACAATAAAAATATAAAATTCTGACTAATAAAATATTTTACTCCAAAATTTAGGTATGGGGATTCGGATTTAAAATTTTAAAATTTTTAAAACTATTAACTTAATTTTAATTTTTCAATGAGAACATAAAGAAAGATTATATTCAATGACTGTTGAATGTGTAATTGTATATAAGTCTGTGTGCCTTATTCCCCCTTTAAAAGGAATAATTCTTACTAAACATATCCACAAACCTTCTATATAGTCAAAATGCTATTCCAAATCAGTGGATCATTTGATAATCCTCATTATTACTTTTTATTGACGAAAAGTTCTCAAGAAATAGATCCATGTCCAGTTAGCAAGAATCTGGAACAACTTGTACTCAAACATTCAATAATCTCCCACTTGTGACTCCAAATGCCAAGTTGCAATGCAGAAAACTCCATAAGTTGAAACATGGCTGATCAGAACGATGATGAATTCGCGGCTGATAGAGGTTTTGATAATGGGCCAGTTGAGTGCTCAGTTGTCGATATCCAAGTACAGACTAGAACTAAAACCATTTTTAATAGCATCAAAACCAAAGTTCAGTTTTATGCATGGATTTATGTACTGGTGATAAGCAACCTTTCAATGGAGCACAGTCGAGTTAAACAATGGCTGCATTGGGAGTGAGACGGCCCAATGGTGATTGCCCAGGTTTACAAGCATGATCCGGAATCTGCAGGTGTGCACTGATAAAAGCCTGTTGGTAATGTGGGTTTTGAAGGAGTGAAGATTATGCTTAACCGACGATATCAGTTCAGAAAAACAGGCTTGGAGTGTGGGCTGTCATTGGCGGTACTGTATCTGAAACTAGTAGCGTCTGGAAGTTTGTCGATGCAGTTCGACGAACTCAAACAACAGTCATTGTTTGCGAGTGCAGGTTGTTCACATTCTGGATCCGGATTTGGGCATATGCCCTAGTAGAAATCTCCTTAGGTGCACAAGTGAGGATCTATGGGCGTCGAGATAGGCAGCCGGCGACATTGGTTCAGAGGGGAGCCTTGACAATGAGAGTTACAATGAGTGTGGCAGCTCCCGGTATGGAAGTGGAATGGCTTAGGTATGGTGTACTGCTGCTTCAATCGTTCGTTGTTTTGCTGTGAAACCTCAAGACAGACAAGAAGATCAGCGACGGTGAGAAAGCAAGCACAGGAACAGATAAATGGCCGGGGTTGAGCATGAAATGGTGAGTTGGATTCTGTAGCTTACCTGAGAGAAGAAGATTTTTTTCTCCCATTCTGCACGGTCGAATTTAATTTGCTTGGCTAGACGTTGAAGCTCTAGGTGGCGCTGCACCCCCTTGATCTGAACTCCACTTTCCGCTTCTTTCGAAGGCCATGGATTGATCTGGGGTTTGAACGTGCACTCGGCCAACTCCTCAACCTCTTTCATAATTCGCTCCTTGTCCTCTTGCTTTTTCCTCTCCTGTTAGAGGATGTTCACAATGAGAGAGCGCTGCAAACTTTAACTTAATTCGCAGCTAAGTCGCTGCAATAGCAATGGCGGTCATCTTGCGAGATGGAATTGCACCTGTTTGATTCTTTTCCGCTCCTCCACAACGGCTCCTTCCGTCGGAGCAATGGCCACCCTCTGCACCATTGGGCGGAATGTACAAGTTCGTTGGAATTCCTCATGCGCCAAGCGTCTTAAAAGACACTTGTGGTTCTTCGTTTTCTGGTCCTGTTTGCAAAGACTCCAGGAATGTTTTAGCCAAAAAACAAGAGAAGGAAAGGTACCAACTTTTAAGTGGAATGATATCAGGCGATTGAGGAGAGATTCCTCACAGTATACAGAGTTTCGATCGATGGATTGCGTCCCAAAAGCCTTGAAATCTCATCGATTTTAGGATGGAACGCAAATTGAGAGTAATAGTTTTCCTGCAACAACAGCCCATATGCTAGCAATCATCTCCACATCATTCGTGCAAGCAAAGAAATTTTACATCCCTTTACTTCAGGTGTGATCAGCCATAGCTTCGACAAAATCAAGCTACAACTTGATGTTTATGAGCTTAATTGATTGACGAGCTGAATATCTAAGTATTTCAAATCCTTTTCTTCTTTACATAAAGTTGGAAGTACCGTGATTTTCTGTTGAGTGAGGAGTCGGCGTTGATTGTCCGCGTTAGATAGCCTCTCGCACATTTCAGGTAAGTTCTCATTGGTCTTAAAGAGCGGTGAGCAACTCAACACGAGATCCGCAGTCCCCCGCATCGGCTGGAATGTGAAGTCAGGAGGAAGTTCCTGTTGCTTCATCCTCTGCGATTGTAATGCAACACCGATGGAGTCTGTATGCTTTCATCTTACTTATCTATTCTTTCCAACCTTAAGCTCTTTATGAGAAACCTGTCAAAACTGCTCTGAACTGTATGTTGGTTCGAAATATGACTACTTGTTCTGCGACGAATCGATTTCTGAGCCCAGACTAACGTTTTCTCAACATACCGAATAAAATGACTAGTAGATGATAGATAGATACCTTCCGCTGCTCAATCCTGTCGAGGAATTGCTGCTGACGCGTCAGAAAGTCATACCCCTCAAATGCAGTGCCCGCCAAGAGGGCGTGGGTGTTGGCATTTATTTCCGGTGCAAATGTGCACTTACTACCTGATCTCGATTCGTCAGTGGCTTTTGCCTACAATAGTCACGAAGGTTTTAAACAGAGTCGACTGTTTTAATCAGTGTCGTGACAAGGTGCTTCAATCGACCAACCAATTCAGCGATTAATCGTGAAATGAGAATTGACCACGTACCCGATGATCGGGTCCATCCGACCAGACGTTGCAGGAAGTCCGTGGGCTGTTGTTACCCAACTCCTCGTTGATGTCGAGAGTAAGTGAAGACTTTCCTCTCTGCAAAACCCAGTGGTTTCATCCGAAGGCTGCACTGTCCTCAATACGACCCACAGACTACGACGCTATATTGGATGTAAACAAACCTTAACCCTAAACCTTGACTGAGCTAGATGGTCCTCAACCTCTTTTACGATTCGCACTGAATTTGGGTTGAGTTGGGGTCTAAAAGTGATCCCGAGATCCTTCACTTCCTGGTCTCGTGCCTTTTGGAGCAACTTATCCTTTTCTACCTGCACTCGCGCAATGCAAACAAAGGGGAGATGCACATTGTAAGCTTACATGTTACATAGAATTAAATCTTCGTAACTATTGCTTTATCAAAGAAGGAAAAACTGGGCAGAATCGTGAGGGTTATGTACCTATGAGTACTTACTTAGAATGCTGAAGATGAGGTGCTCACCCGAATACAATCCAGGCGATTCTCGATGGGCTGATACGCCTCCAAATCGAGGTACTTCGTATTGATGTTAGGTCGGAAGGAGCACAAGTCCCGCTCCTCTTTTTCTCGCATCTTCTTAGCCTGCAAGCAATGTCACAAATTGACACTTCAGGATGGTTCAAACATCACTCATCACGCATGAAAGTCCTATGAAATAAAAATGCAAGACGATTGATCCTCGACGCTTACACGTTTAATGAGGTTGATACGCTCCTGAATGTCACCAAGTCGCTCAATTAAGTGCGCAGAGATCTTGGATCCCTGGTCTGGCTTCTTCCCTCTTCTGGGCTTCAAGGGTCAAAACAAGCGAAAACATTACAAGAGACGTCAGTTGAGCAGTCTTCTTCAGGATTGAACATCATTTGCACCGAGAACACCTTGAATTCAGACAGCACCCAGGGATTCTTGTAGCACGATGGAGGAGCTTTGTGGCGATGTCTTTACCTCAAGGGAGGATTCATTTCTGTGCACGTGACAAACTTTCTGAGAAGCTGCAATCTTGGGTGTGGCTAAGCGCAGCATAGTTTCAGGCTTCAAAAATATGTCACATCGCTTCATCTCCGGCGCAGATTTGATATCTCGGCATGTCCGTTGCCCCGCTGCAAGATTCTTCGGAATAGACAACCGCGCCACCGATGCCTGTAAAATTGGCAAATGAAGGAGTCGGGTCAAGAATCCTCCTCATATATGATAAAATGCTTACAAACAATAAGATTGTAGAAAGGTGCGTAACATACCACGGCGTGAGATGTCTTCAGCCTCCCATGCCGTGATAGCTTTCCTTTCTGCTTCCCTCGCTGTTCCTGCACGCATCGTGATTCTCTAACATTCAGATCATGGTACAGTAGCTTGTGCTTCAAGTGGAATTTCCAGTCGATTCTAAAGAAGAAACGTTGATGCATCCGCAACCCTAAACCTTGAACTACAGAGTAGAGTTAAGTGATACCGAGTCAAACATGCAGTTGGGGTTCAATTCCTGGGTTGAGGGCGTGTCGATCTTTCTGTAATTCGTCGGACGTCCAGTCTGCCAAAGAAAACAACGTTGCGTGTCACGTAGAGTTGGTTTCTGTCGAGACGAATGAAATTTTTTTTCCTACACTGATACTTGCAGACGTCACTCGAAGCATCCTTCGTCCTTACAGGTTTTAGTTCCGCAGCATTCTTGGTTGCCTGGGGTGGAAACTTGCGGAGTTCTATCATGCTGGGCTCAGAAGAGATCGTGGAGCTAGAGCACGAAGAGTGCTTCTTTGGTTGCTCTGATTGTGGGCCAAATATTACGATAGAATCACCTGAAACACCCAACAACTAACATCACAAGCTCTTTCGAAATCATACTCAAAACATCTCACAGGATTCAACTCCGTGCGAAGTCTTGATTTCACGAAGATTTGGAATCAGAAGTTACTTCGAGTGATGGGGTCTGGCGCTGCTGTGGCACGGTCTTCAAGCCGCTGTGGCGCCTCTTGAGTCAAATTTGACATTGAAATTGAGATCTCTTCAGGTTTATGCGAGTTTGGGCAGCCGAATTCCTCCTCGAAGCTGTCCTCCTCGAGGCTGTTTTGTTCATCCGGTACCTAACCAGAGAATCACGAAGTCATCAACAACTTGCTGAACGTCCCATCAACCCTCAGAGGATCGCACATACGGAATGAAGAAGTATTGATACGCAAAAATTACTTTTCTAGGGATCGAGGATGACGCAGTCTCGGCAACTTCGAAGATCTTCTCGTTGGGTCGATAAAGTTTCTCCAGCTTCGACGCCGCCAAAGGCCAGCTCAGCTTCTCAGAGTTCGAATTCTTGGTAGAAGAATATGTGACAGCGCTACGGGCTGACTCTCCACTCTCCGAACTCGCTCGTTTGCTGACATCCTTCAAAAGCAGTATTGTGTTAGAGGTTGATTCTACCACAAATCTACGACTCGACCCTTTGCAACAGCAATCGAAATTCGTAGCGTTGAAGACTAATAAAGGCATACTTGCGGCGTGTCGAATAATTTGCACACCACTTCGCATACAGAGCTCCCCCTTGCCGAAGTTCCCTCCTCTGCCCATTCCTTAGGAAAACTGGAGCCGTCAGTTTTTCCAGCCTCAAAACGACTCTTGATGAATCTCCTCTGTTGGTGCGTGGCCTCGTCCTGCGACGTTCTTGATCTCGTAGAGCTTACCCTGTTCACGAACACAGGCTGCAGCTCATTTCCCTCATAGTCTACGTCGCTGCTCCTCTGCGTGGACGTCTCGTTGCTGAGCGAGTACGATTTCCAGGAGTTCCCCTGCGCCTCAAATCCCCAAGTCACTAGCTCCAATTCTCTTAGATTCAAAGCTGCTAAAATTATTTTCAAAGACTGATGAGGCGATGTTAGATCCTCACCGGCGATGACGATATTTCTCTGTACATGCTGATGTTGCTCAGCGTCCCCATGTTTTTGTTCCATTCGGGTTTCAATCCTTCCATCATATTCGTCATATTCATGTTTAAGTTCAGGTACGCGTGTGCATTCCGCAATTTCTTATTACTCGACTCATGCAAAGCTGTCGGATAGTTCAAATTTGGCGGTATTAGTTTGTTAGAGCAAAGAGGGAATAGTCCAAATGTTAACCATTCATGTTTTGGAATTACCATCTCTGTCGAAGGAGGTGCCCAAGGTCGTTGGAAGCATGGAGAGGAGTGCTTCGCAGCGCTTAATGCTGCTTTCAATGCCGATATCTAAGCTGTCTAACTGCATGTCCTCACCCATTGTGGCATCTACCTTCGACGTCGCCACTGACACCACCATGGTTGCTTCAGATTTTGCGCAATTCACATTAAGCTATTCAGCAAAAGCAGAAAGAACCGGAATCGTGCGATGTATTAGAAACCTCCAACTCCAGCTCACGCGTCGGAACTATGAACAATACGCTCTTTTTATTGAATCACCGTTTCCCCTAAGTTTCAACGCCACACCCCCTCCTGGTCAGCCCCACTAATGCTTCACCATCTTCACACAAATCCTTCTAAATCGTCTCACCCATCTCCTCAGCCCCCGCCTCCGATAATCGAATCGGCTCGCGACTCCAAGGCCTTCCCACAACGATTCCTTCACTCTTCCCGCCGCGCCTTGCGGTGATGCTGGTCTCGGAATGAAACCAACCCAAACTCGTTTGAATGCATGGAGATCGTTCTGGAAGTCGTGCAATTTCTCCAGGAGAAAGAATGTGCACAACTACCGCAACAATTCATGGTAAAGTGGAGGCAGATTCGACAAGGATGCTCGCCCCGCGCGCGCGCAAATTCGTAACTGCAGCGGCGCGGGACGAGCGTTCGCATGGCGTGGGTAGCCGGAGACGGCTCCTTGTCATGGGACCTGGACATATTCCCTGGCGACAGTTATTTACCGGTCCAGACACGTGTTTTTTTTCCTCACCGTAATCTCGATTTTCTCACTTTGTGTTTGTGTTGCTTGAAGAGGTAAAATGCACACAGCGATGTCATCATAAAATGCTTATAAACTGAGAGCTTTGAGGTCCACTGCGTTTGTTGTCGAACTTATCGATGCTCTCAGTTTCTGTCCTACATGGATCAAAACCTGATTGGTGAACTCCTTCCATACAAATGACTATAAGCCGTGGTGATAATAAAGAATTACACGTACTTGAACCTTTCTGAGAGTCAAGTCCACAAATATAAATGAGTTTTCAAATGTGGTAGTATACAATACTGCAGCTACAAACTAGCTCAAGACTGTTTGAAGTCTTCCTTCTGGGCGAAGTGCTAGTTATAAGACTGAGAGTTGGAACCCTGGAACAATAACTTTGTGCGCAGTGAGGACGCCTGTGACCGGCATCACGTTCCAATACAATGTCAAATTGAAATGCCGGCCTTTCAAGTCTTTGCCCTGCATGACAACAAAGTAGCACGATTTAATACTAAAAACATGATTGAATTAGCTGTTTTAATGATGGTTGCATCACTTCGATTACTTTCGCAAGCAGAGATAGCAGGAGGCAGGAAGGTGTTGAGCTTACTTCAAAGAGGCTAACTTATCAGTGACTGATGGAGTTATCAGCTTTATGTAATGAATGTTTTTTTTTCAGGCTAGAACGGATGAAATAGAATCCTCCTTTACTACTTCCTTTTGGTTCGTACACAAATTGCAAGATGCGCCGAGTGTGCATGCGATGGGACGGGATCCTGACGTTAGAGAATGCAATCGTGGTGGCACCATAGGAGTTAGACATCCCCGGGCCCTTGCTTTTGTCGCCGAAGCCTACACACAAGTCTTTCTAAGTAGCAATAATGCTTGCCTTCGTCCCGTACGAGGACTATTTGCAACAAATGCATCCCCAGCATCATGTGTTTCTTGAAGTGCACTTCGGAGTTTACCCGAAAGCGCTAGTTGACGAAGCATACACCGCAGGCCCTATAGTTTTCCATCAGGTCACCGATAACTTATTTCTCTATTGGAAAATACACTCCAGCTCATCCTCAACGAACAGACCAAAATATTCGATGAAGGGTTGAGGATCTGCTTAGTGGCTCAAGGACTGCAGGCTGCACCAATGGTTTGATTATTGGTGGTCATCCTCTGAGAATCAAACGTATCACATGACTATCATCTCGGAAATAGTGGGGCGCGGGCGCAGGACACTCATCTGTAGGGCTGCAGTGCTCTCCAGAGAAATTATAGAGTAATGAGCTTGATGCAAAATTGTATCCAACTTCTGCGTTGCTGGCAGCCATTGATTGACAAGTAGATGTGAAGTAATTTGTACCATCCTCAAAGGTACTTCCGCCAGATAGCAACTACGTAGCTTTTGAATGGACTTTGGTTTCAATGCTCAGATAGTGTGCGCTTGAATCAGTACATTGCTACGCGTCCAACTGGTGGAGGCAAACGCTCATCGGATTCACAAGGAATAGACTGGAGAAGCTCCCGCAGATGGCTGTATATTCCCAGATGCTAATGAGAAATCTTTCTGGTACAGAGAGAATCCTGTCTTCTTAAGTCCATTCTTCGATACTTAGAAGCAAAATTGAAGCAGAAGAGAATGTTTCCAGCAAGCGAGCCACTGCTCAATTGCGATATTTGGAAAAGTGCGTATCCTCACTAATTCTTAAAGTTCAGACTAGATATTTTATCAGAATTTCGCGTTGGGTTGCACAGGCTACACATGGGACTTGCGTGATGCACGGACCAGCATCTTGTCTTGCGAATGAGGATAAATAAAAGCTGTCTCAGCGCAGCCATTCGAGTCCAGTTAAGAACTGCTGCCAGTAATCGGCATCAAATCAAGAGTTTCGGCCTACACACAAATTCGATCCAGAATATGAACGTTGAAACGCTCTAAGGGACACAGTATGCCAATGTACGCAGGCCCTGGATCCGCTTTTCATCTAGACAATGATTCCTGCAGCAGGAAAGCGGTGAAGCGAGTGTTGAAGGATGGACCGGACATCACGGAGTAGCGGATGCAAGGCTTGGTTGAACTTCCTAGTAACATTCTATCCAAACTGGCCAGCACAGTGTGGGTTGATTAGGTAGTCGATCCGCCCCCCTCTTTCATATTCCTGTATCTCGGAGAGATATTACATAATATTACGTGTTGCATCCACGACGTTGCTTGAAGATGAGTGTGTCTGCAATGGAACTAATTTTTCAAATGAAATTTGCAATGTCACCTGTCTTGTTTTGTTGAGCAGGTTCGGTGAGCTTTCTCGAAGACTCGTTGACTAGGACCCAAGGAGTGCGCAAAACCCTCACGGCACGCAAATTCCATCTTTTCCCGACCATTTCACTTCCAATAATGGTCAGAATGAAGTAGATTCCTGTTCCACCACAGTAAAAACTGGAAACAGTACCACCCCACTTGTTTCCTCTGGAGATCAAGATTTATTGCCTTTGCTATAAATGGACGCTCACAAGGCAATTCTGCCACGAATGATGAGATGCAGCATAATTGGCACCCACGCATGCATAAAATGTGGGAATCGTTGGCGAAAACAATCGTCGAATCCCTCGTCACTTCAAAGTCTGTAAACCAATCTGAGCCATATAAAACCGACCTGGAGATTAGGAAACCTCCACTGCCAATCTCCACTCACCGCATCACCAATGGCTAACATCTGCTCTCCCAAACTACCCATCAACGCCTCACATACAACAGGCCATAAATTATTCCGTGCATAGGGAAGCGAGCATCGTTGACTGAATTTCATTCCATACCACATCCAACATGACTCCTCTTTGCAGTACAAGACAATGCCCTCATCACCCTATCCAACAGGACATTGCGCAAATCTGTTCAATCACAATGCGCCACTCGCTCACCTAAAAAAAATAACCATTGAAAGCAAAAAAAAACTGAAAAATAAACCACTAACTTTCAACATAAGAAACAAAATAAAATGACATTAAATCTACATATGAATAAAATAAAATAAAGCCATCGCAATCTGCGTCAACGACTACAGAATTGCTCACAAACGCGACACGATCAGCTGGACACATTAAACACCTCAACAACACACGAACCCTCCAATTAAATTCAAAATTGAACGCATTTTCTCTTCTCCTCTCTTCTCTCTCTCTCTCTCTGTCTCTCTTTCTCGCCTCCAAATGAGCACCACAGCAAGCCGATGCAAACTTCAACGCCAGATGAGGGGATATCCGAGAAGAATTCGCTGCAATCGTTGAAGCAGCGGAATTCATGTGCACAGGGGAACCGACTAACTTGTCCACTTCACACGACCCCCCCCCCCACCCGGCGCGGCAGCGGGGGCCGGGCTGGGCGACGCCGCGCCTTGCGCAAACCCGGTACTCATCCATCACCCATCCACCACATCTCGATGCGAATCATTCATCCGTCTTTGGTGGGACGGTTGTCAAGATCTTCGTTTCCTAATTTGGTATTCTAAGGGGCTTCAAATGAGGGGAATGGCCCCAAAATGGCAACTTTGGAAAATCCATGGACTACGAGGATTCCACCCCGTTGAATTTTTAAATTAAAATTTATTTTATGGGTGATTTTTTTCTGTCTTATTTTGGACGTAACCAAGTGAGTCCTTGACAAGATGAAGAGTGGAATTTAGGGTTCTAGTCATTTCTAAGGGGAAGCATGTGTCCATATTCCATACAAATGTTGTGACTTGTTGCCAAAGTGAATACAACATTAAGTCGTTTATTTTGATCAATGAAATTAATGAAACTAGGTTATATAATTGAATGAAATGTTAACACTAACATATTGTTCTACATGTTTGTATGGTTCTGTATAAGATTTTACGAATTTTGGTTATTTATGTTTTGTGAAATTAATATTAGTACGTCTAAACTTAGATTATACAAGTTTTGATGGTAGTCTTCCAAATGCTCAAACAAAACTACATCTATTTAATATTTTTAAATATAAAATAGATTACTTGTGATTTTATTTCTTTCATTTTAATTAGTGATTGAGAAAATATATATGTGATATTATTGTTTTGCTAATTATGTATCAGTAACAAAATATTATTGACAAAATAGCAATTTTATTACAATAGGTAATTTAGTTTGTTACAATCAACAATAGTTGTAGTTAGCACAATGGAATGAATGAAACAACCACTAAAACAATAAATAATACTAATGCCATTTTTAAATTTAAAATATACGTATAATTTTTTAAAATACAATAAGGTATTAAAAAGCATTTAAAATTAAGCTAATATATTTAACTCAATTTAGAATTGTGCTATATATATTTTTGTTTATTTATATGTTTATTGGATTTTTAATAGACAGTGAATTAACAAATGTTTTGGAATCAAAGTTTAAAAGTTTTGTTTTAATTATATGATAGAATATATAAGTATAATCTTATATTTTTATATTAGAATATTTTTTTGAATGCTATATATAACTATTTAAAGTATATTTATAAAACATCATAATATTATTTGGTTTTGGAGGAATATATTTAATAATATGATATTGTTTTAGAATGAAAAAAATCCATTTATTAATAAAAATAAAAATAAAAATATTGAATTAAATGGCACAAAGGATGGAGATGATTTAAGATTTTTGTAATTTACCAATTGATAAGATTTGAAATAGATGAATAATCAAAAGCATATAGAAGTCTATATAAGATTGATTTTAAATACAACTGTGGAATTCTTCTGTAAAAAAATCTTTAATATAATTATACCACTAAAAAATTTATAATTTCAATTATGAAAAATATTTTTAATTATAGAATTATTTTTATAATAAACTTGATTACTTTGTCTTTTGTATGCTTTATAGTTAAGTTGAACTATTAAATTTAAACTATTAGTTTATATATACACATATTCTTATACATATAATTTGGTGTTTATTTTTGTGCTAATGATTTTATTTTATTATAAAAGAAGTTGGTCTAATTTTGAACCACACAATGAATTATTGGAAGCAATATCTAAAACTAATCAACAAAAACCTCGTAATTGCAAAAATTGATAAGAAAATATATGATTTTTTGTTTACTTATTATAGCTAATTTTTGTGTAAAAATGGAATATATAAATGAATAAATAATCCATTAGTTTCAAGAACAATTATCAATTCTTAGATTTTTTTTAGGTTTTAACATTTGTTATATAAGTTTTGACATTTTAGATGTTTGATCCAAATGTCTTTGTAAAATTCACAAATTTACAAAATATACTAAGTATATCTATCTTCATCTCTAAGATTCAATAAAACTACTTTCTTTAAATATTTTTGGTCATTTTCTAATCCAATTATATATTATTACTAACACATATAAATTATTTTATTAATTCTATTGAATGTATTAGGTTAGGGTATGTGCAAAACCAAAAAAGTTATTAAGAAACATATACATATTATCATATGAATAAAGCCTATTTATACTAATTTAATTGATTTTGTTTTTTGTTTTTTTAAATAAATAAAGTGAGCAAAGATAACTATTAGTAGCAATGCATATACTGCAAGAAATACTTTAGCAACATCTCAACCATTGCATAGTTATTTTGTCTAAAATGTGATTTCCAAAGAAGGGACATAATTTGTAGTTACAAAAATCATCATGGCATATTGCAACAAAACCTTTATTAAAAAAATTATAATGTAATTGGTTGTGTTTTTATTGAATTTGCCAATTAAATTTGGTATTGCAAAGTCAGTATTCTACAAGGAACAACAATATCGACATTCACAATTGGTTAAAATTTATAATAATTTTACCAAAAGTTTAAACTCTTCTGTATCAAACTACACATTTTTAGTTTAATTTATAATCTTGATTTACTTGCAGTTTAATTTTTTGAGTATTTTTTAATCTTGATGATCTTAAAATTGACCTCTAATAAATGTTTTTCTCCTTTTTATTTTTTACTCATTATCAGCTACAAAACTTCCTTATTATTCATAACATTGCAAGATTCGCCTTCAAGTTAGTTTATTAAATTTATCCTCAATTTGATACCACATCATATTCATTTTCTAATAAGAAAAGCAAACATGTAGAACAAAGAGGTTTTCATTGATTAATCATCTAAACTGCCAAAATACTTTTTATTGAAGAATGTCGTTGTCAATATATAAATATTTTTCATCAATAGGCTAATTACAAATATTTAGAAAATGTGTATGTTTGAAAAAATAATCTATTATCAAACTTAGAGAGTGTCTAATAAAGACTATTTTAAGTTCAAAGCAAATAACATATTCAATTCTAAGGGTTCATCTCAACCCCAAAAATGTATAATTTAATCTATATTTCACATTAAGTAATAATTAAATTATTTATATAATGACGGTTTTGTTTTACATATTAGATAAATAATATATTTCAGAAAAGGAAATACTTTAATTGTACAACTGCTGTAATGTCTCAGTTTTAACTATATATATATATATATATATATATTAAATAATATTTTTATATTAAATTAGTAAAAAAATAGAGATATTATTTAATAATCTGATACTACAGTTCATAAAATACTCAAAAAAAATGGATGATGCCACTAAAATGTTTAATTGAATATAATGGAAAAAAGTAATCATACACCAGATCTTTGCTAATGTAGATTGCTTTTAATTATACTGATATATTCTCATGAAGAATAAACTAACAAATGTATTTTTTTTTTTTAATAAAAAAAAAAACCCTCAATTGTTACAACTTTCTTTTGTTTATTCTTATAATTACCATATATTATCCAATCTATTGTTTAATATTTTTTTGTTTTATATTTGAATATATGTGCAATAAATTTATCGTCTAAAATACTTTGAATATTATTATGTGTGAATATAAATATATATATATATATATATATATATCTTGTATTCATAATACACTTGTTGCACCTCAATTACCTGCTTAAGACATAGATATAAATTGTGTATTTATATATATTTAAATTAATAAATAAAAAATATATTATTCACATGATTAGAATGTTTCTGTGGAAAGCTGGACATCAAGAATATTCAATTCCTGTTCAAATGTTATTTCGCAATAACTTTTCTTTCATAAATTTTCATATACTATAAGTCAACAATGATATTTTCTTTCAGAAAATAGTGTAGATTTAAATCATCATAAGAAAATCCAACAGACACATTTTAGGTGGGTATATTTAAAAAAAATAATACAACAATATGTTTTTTGAAAGTAAGACTTATATTTTTATGAAATAATTTTGAAGAATCATTCTTTAATTGCAATACAAAAAATCCTACTATCATACTTTAAAATAAAAACTGAAGTATTTATCTGATTTTGAGAATGCACTTTGGTTCAAGCTCAATTTATTGTTTAATGTATATATATATATATATATATATATATATACATATATCTCGATAAAACAATTATAGTATTGAGCAATTATATACTATTTGCATTTACCATGTACCATTTGTTTATTTCGTTAGTTTTAAAGTGTTTGGTTTTGAAAACTGAAAAAAAAGCTAACCAACTTCATCTCCCTCATTTGTCCACAAAATCATGAACTTAAATTTAATAAAAATAAAAATATGATCCCACTAAATGTAAAAAAGACAAAATTGAAGTGCACTAGACCAATGGATCAACAAAACACTCAGTAATATCACTTCTAATAATAATCAAAGCCCAAAGACCACCACAAAGATGACGTATCCGGTTCCCATTCGTTCTAACATTCCACGTGCATCAGTACGCGACCAATCAACCACCAGCAGCAGCTCCCACGTGGATTTCCGGGCCCACGTCAGCATATGAGCCACGTCATCACAATCCCCGTTGGCGTCCAGTCCCCCCGAATGGGACGAGGCTCCTCGATCCCGCCATGCATGCATCAGCGAAGGTTCCGGACCAGTCAATGCATGGCGGGAGCCCAGCTTATTTGAGTGGGTGACAAGTGGCGGGAATCGTTATTGTCCAGCGTGGCCGGGCTTTGTGTGTCTGTGTGCGTTTTTTTGTGTACTTTTGTCGCCGTGGGTGTGGCGATGGCGTCGTTGTGAAGAATGCGAGCTCCATCGCACGCCATCACTAGCTCTTCAGTCATCGAAACTACAGTCGGAATGGTGATTCCTGCTTGGAGAAGAGTGAGTGAGCTCGGGTGCAAGCTCGTCCTCTCGCAAACGCCATGGATGAATTAAAGCCTGGACTCTCCCCTCGCTCTTCTGCTGTCTCGCACTAGCCACAACTCCCCCGAAAGCAAAAGCAGCCAAAGTTCTCGATAGAAGAGCAAGAGAGAGTCAGACGTGGGCACCGCAGGCTTTTGCATCCAATCACACTCTCATGCCTCCTGCCCTATTTCCTCTGAAGAAGCCACTCTTGCAGGTGTTGTTGTTGTTCGTGTTGCTTTTTTAGCGGGGGGTGAAATTCGAACTTAGAATAAAATCGAAACTGCGTGATTCAATGCTTTTTGATTAGTGGGCGTTCTCAAGCGTCGTGAAAGTGATTATTAGGATTCTCATTTGTTTTCGCTCTCTCTCTCTCTCTCTCTCTCCTTTTTTTTTTTTTTTTCTTTTTCCTCCCCTTAACACAAATGTATTTGTTCTCAAGCGTGTAGTGAGTACAACATTAAACAATAATCAAACCATGATAAAAATCACTGTTAATTGATGTTTCTGTGAAGGTTTCGCTGTGTTTCCAGGATCGTACACGTCGTCGTCGTCGTGTTTGACTGGGAATAATTCCGAATGGGTATAATGCAGAGTAAAATCCAGTAGGGTTTGTTCGAATGAAAGTGAAGAACGCCTTTTTCACACGAAGGACAACAATGTTCATGTGCAGACAACAAAAATCGATTCCCAAAGTTCTCAGTATCGCGCACTGTGCAAGGCAACGCAACCAAAATCGTGGCGATCTTTCTCCCTTGTTTTACCCCTTTTCCCTTTACTATTATTTTTTTATTGTCTGATATTTTCCGGTCCCCCTAAAGGTAGATTTAATAAAAAAAAAGTGTTAAAAAACTGTCCCTAGGCGCCACATTAAACTGCCTCTCAGCTTTTTGTACAGGCGTGGGTACCGCATGTGAGAGGAGGGACATCAGAGCCCAAAGCGACAAAGAAGTCTACCAGGGAGCGTCACTAACACCCAACGAGGATCGCCAGAAAGCCCAAAACAAGGACCCACATTAATCAGCCTTCACTAATTTGGCAGCGACATCGCCTAAACGTGCTTTACCAACCTCTCTGACGGAAAAGGAAAGGGGGTTTCGCGGGAGGCAGGAAGGGAAAGGAAAGGTAGGTGGAACAGGTTGAAGGATGAAAGCGATAACGAGAGAGAGAGAGAGGAAAAAAAAAACCAAACAAAAAAACAAAAACAAAATGAAAACACAGAGACGAAGGACAATAGATGTATGAAATTACTCACTCATCAACAGATGAGAGGTACCCATCGATGTTTCGTCCGGGGCAGCACACTGGGGCGATGCGGCGATGGAGGAGTAGGTGCTGGAGGCTGAAGAAGCTGGAGCTTTGGTGCGGCGATGGGGAATGGGTCCCAGCCCTGCGTGCTGTGAATGCAAAAGCTATGGAGATTCGCTCGCATTATACCCATTTGCTCCAACGTCACTCTTCCTGCTGTGTCGTCTCGTCCCCCACCCCACTTCTTCCCTACATTTAATCCAGTTCCAGGACCTCTGTCACTCTTGGAGGACGACGCCACACAAGTTTAGCAGCTCTCTCCCCTGTTTGGGTTTGTGTTTGTGCAGTGGGAAGACAACGAGTGGAACGAAACAAGGTTGGTCTTTGTCAGGTCCCCAGGTGATGCATTTTTAGACACGCAGCCTTGTGTGGTGGGGGGGGGGGGGGGAGAAACTGACGGGTAGTCTGATAGCGTCGTTTTAAGAGTGGGTGAGTTGGGGGGTAAAGTGTGTGTATGTGTCTGTGCAAGCTCGGAGTTTTTTCGGTGGTTGGTGTTGAGGAGTGTTTGTGGTGGGATCGGTGGGAGAGGTTCATTGAGAGAGGGGAACAGACATCCGAAGGGAGGGGGGGTTCGTCTTGAGAAGTTTAGTGGCGGTAGCTGGTGGAGTTTTGGTGGTCTTCGGGGATGCTCTGAGGGTACATAGGGCGGTAGGGGTTGATGAGAAAGAAAATCGTTTGTGGGTGAAGGAGGAGAAGGAAAGAAGAGGAGGAGTGTGTGAGTGATTGAGGGAGGGAGTTTGTGGTTAAAACCCGATCGGCAATTTTGGTTTTCAGGGATTGCGTAGGGAGTCGGGATACGACGCATTTCGAGCTATACTTGTAGAGTTTCTAGAGCGGTGTGGTGTTGGTCATGGCGTTGCAATGGAAATAACGGCTGCTGGAGCTGTAGATCTTAGTCGCAGGAGAGGTCGTGGAGGTATCAGTGTTAAAGATTGTGATAAGCATTTGCCATGGGCTGTACATCCTCTTCACATGGTACGTTTCTCTCTATCCTGGTGATGACTTTCGTGGTGAGGTTTAAGGAAAGTGTATCTTCCGACGTCCTGGTCTCCTTTTGCCAGATCTGAGTCTGGTTTGTTCTGAGCAAGCAGGGGAGCCCACAGTGAGTGCTCAGAGATTTAGATGAAATCCTCTGTGGGTAGATAGGCTCAAAACGTAGCCGAATTCGGAACACCAAACTCATTAACTTTGGGATTCTTGATAGCAATGCATTTTGTTTTTGAGTGTCTGTTTGCAACAGCTGCAGTGCACGGCTCCAGAAACTTGCAGACCCACTCCCAGACTGAGGTTTTGGATTCTAAGAATCTGCGCATCAAGGTACGTTTTATTGTAGCTTGAGCAAACGTTTTCGTATCGGCATGGTCGTTTTGTGAAGACTCTGGGAATTTTGGCTGTTCGATGTAGTTGCGTACATTAATTGATACTATTGTCCTTTTGGCTACATTGCAGCTAGTTCTGTTGGGTGACTCGGGAGTGGGAAAGAGTTGCATTGTCTTACGGTTTGTGCGTGGGCAATTCGACCCCTCGTCCAAGGTTAGTTTGCTTCTGAACAAGGATTGTTGTACGAATCTTTTGAAATGGTTAGTCCAAAGCCACTAGCAATTCATGAAAGCTATGGTGGAAAAGCTAGTGCATATTGAAGTGACTTTTTGTTATCATCCAACTAGCCCATCCAATTGTCACTTGGCCGTGTGCAGGTGACGGTTGGCGCGTCGTTTCTTTCTCAGACAATTACATTGAAAGATTCTACCAGCGTAAAATTTGAGATATGGGACACTGCAGGTCAAGAACGGTGCGTCATTCTCACTATGTTTTGAACTAACCCCAACCACATGCTCTACTGGCTTCCCACAGTGTCCAAGTCCGATGACTTATGAATTGATGCTGTGTAAGTTAACTTGGTTCTGCCAACAAGGGACTAGGGTTTGGGCATTCCAGCATGATCTAAGTTTCTTTTCACTGTGAATGGAATGCTTCAGGTATGCCTCATTAGCGCCGCTATATTATAGAGGTGCAGCAGCGGCGGTTGTAGTTTATGACATCACCAATCCAGAGACATTCTTGAAAGCTCAATTCTGGGTTAAGGTGGGTCGCTCAACTGATTTTTATTTTTTATTTTTATTTTTCTGTCCTGTTATTTTTTGTGTTGCGAATTTTCCTTTCTCCGTGGGAATTCTTAAACATAACTGAACCCCAGGAAGAAGCGTACTCTAATGAGTTGTGCTGCAACTTTTAAGGATCGGAAATTAGTTTGTGGTATCTTCTTCCCTCAACTTAAAGACCACTAACGTTCTTTTCACTTTCCACAACAGGAGCTGCAGAAGCATGGAAATCCTGACATTGTAATGGCTTTGGTTGGCAATAAAGCTGACCTCGAATATCAACGTGAAGTTACTCGCGAGGTAAGTTCTCTGTCTTTGTGAAATGACGTCTTCTTTAGCAGCAATCGTGGCACATTGTGTGGTGTGTAATTCAGCTGTGGATGGACTAAATGAGATACTTGGCGTCTGAAGTGTATTCCGTTGACTCTGTAGGAAGCACAGACATATGCCGATAGTAATGGCATGTTCTACATCGAAACGTCGGCTAAAACTTCTGACAATGTGAACCAACTTTTCGAGGTAAATCTCTTACTATGAACATGAGGCGTTTGTCACAGTTTCTGCTTCGCAAGTAAACGCAACAGTCTTGCATATACGATTTTTTGAGCTGGAACTGAATAGGTGGGAATATGCGCTCGTCCCTAAGAACGGGAATCGCAATGTAAGGTCGGTTCATACTAAATATTCCGGCCCTAGCTTTTCACTCGGTTTTTCTTACACTTTTCGAGGCATCGTTTTGTCTTTCACCAGCAACTTCATGGCAAACTGAAGCAAACAACTTTAGTAGTTCGAAGAAGCAAGTACTGCACTTGAATATGACTCATTCGTCTTTAAGGCTCTTTCTGACACCACTGACTGGCAGCAATGCACTGAGGGCGATATTGCCAAGAAGCCCAAGCATTCAAGTCTGTACAGCCCGTCGAGAAAATCTTTGTCCAAGGTTCATCAGTTTCGCAGAATACACCCCACGTCCCGGGCCTGAAATGGTTGTGTTATCTTATTTTGACAGGAGATTGCCAAGAGGTTACCTCGGGGACAATCAAGCTTGTCGAGGCACTGAGACATTCTCTAGAGCATTTTTTCAGTTTCTCCAGAATGCCAGAGTTTGGTGATTGTCGGTACACATTGTCAATAGCCAACAATGTTGCTATTTAGCTGTTTTTGTAATGTACATACATATAATAAAATGGATTTCTTTGGTTGGGTTTTTCTGCTTCAAGCCGCAGAGACCAACAGGTTCTAACAATCCCACACTGTTGTCAACCTGCTTATGCGCCTTTGAGCATGAATACTTGGTTTCTGTGCTTGGAGTTGGCATCACTACTGATTGATTTGATCTTTAATGAATTGCAATCAGGTACTATGGCAGCAGCAGCATGTTCATCCGAGGCTACAAGACCTCAATGGAGCTTATGTTCCCCTTGTTTCTTTTTATTGAGGTTAGCCTCTCTTATAAATGTCATATTTTTGTTGCCATTCTGGGTAAAACGGATCAACCAAACTCATCCTGAAGTTGAACAGTTATTTTTGTGTATCAGCCCTAGCAAGCATATTAGACTTTCCTCCTTTCTTCCTTGTATGTTTGTTTTCTGTTTCTGTCCTGCCCTTCTTTCTTAATTTATTGCATCAATACATTCTTTGTTTGCACAGTTACAATGTTCAATTTTCCATATTATAGATTATGATATTTCATACTTGCAAGGTTATCAAAACTTTCTATATAATTGAAAAATCGATTCTTGAAAGAATTTATTCGGTCTGTCTTTTTAATGTAATTCTCGTCAAGTAAGGTATTCAATTATACTATGTTTTACTGTTGGAATAATAATGTTTGATATGCATGACTGTTCTTGACAATAATTAATGTTCAACTAATTTGTTTATTTTTTTGTCATATAAGAATAATTTTTACTTGAAAAAAGTTGAAGTTGTTCTGACACACAAAAAAAGCACACAGCCAACATTTTTTATTGTATATGAATTACATGTGTGAATGCTTAGAACTAGATGACTTGTATCTTTTCAGGTTTAGAAAGAGCTTATGGTTCTTGTGACTTGTTTTCAAAGCAAGAGATGATAATCAAAAATCCACAACATGGGTAGCAACTCCTATGCAATTAAATAAACATTGTATTATTTGTTGCACTACATGTATATTATTTCTTTTCTATATTATTGATGTCTAACTTACTGCAAAATATTAATACAAACTATTAAGTATGGAAAAAGAGGAATGGAAGTTCTTTATGCTCAAAGAATAGGCCAAAGGGATGAAATTTATAAAGGATAATAAGACTCATATTGTTATTGCCTCTAAATTTTTTTTGTTAGATTATTGTTTCTATTATTAAATACTTAAATAAGATCTTTTAGAAGATTGTAAGTAGGAATAACAAGGTGATTAAAGAAAGGAACAATTTTGTCCATTTTCCTATTTAGAAGAACATATTGCATATCTTAAATATTAAAATCAAAATTTATGTGTTTAATCTAAATATATCTAGTGATGTTGTGAAGTTAAAAGTAACAAAGTTTAGATAATTGACTTTGGATTAATATGTCAACACATTAAAGTCCAAGATTAAGCATACTTTGCCAATTTTGAAGCATTAAACAACTAGATTTGGAAGTATTTAGATATGGTAGAGACAAACAACAAGGGGATTGCAACAAATGCAATATTACAAACCTAGTGAAGAATAAAGAGTGCTTCGTCAATATATATGAGCTATTAAAATATTTTCTTTGGAAGAACATTTGAAACATAAAAGAAACAAGTTTCCATTTTTACACTATAATTAATATTAAGAGAGGTGATGTGAAGCATAGCAAAGAACACATCATTGTAATGTCCATTGTCAACACATTGGGTCAAATATAGTGTTCATGTCATTAACAAGTTTAAAAAATCCTTGTGTTTGTAAAGACATTGCAACCAAAAATATATGCAATGTTTTAACAATCATCAAAGAAAGATATAAAAGAAGGCATATATATATATATATATATATATATTATCATTATTATTTTTTTGTTTTATTGTATTGAATATAAAATGCAAATGTATTGAGTTAACTTCTACATTCTATAAGACAATTTTGACTCCCATATCTTTGCTACTAAGGTGCTGAATCCAAGTAGCTCATATAGAATATTCTCTAAAGACATATATGATGTAATAATTCTTTTTCCACAAAAATGTACCAATTATTGTTAGTTGCTAGATCAAAGAAATATCTATTTATGGAAGACAACATTTTGCAAAGCCCACATGTGCATCTTGTTCTTCAAGTATGTGATGTGGCAAAAAATTCTAAGAACCTAACTACTACTTCTAAGTTTCTAGTAGGCAATTTTATTCATATTGTCAACCCCTCAATATTTTTACAAACTTTAATATTGAATTTGTCTTTAAATAAAATAAGAACTCATAAATAACTTCTCTTTGCTTAATCACATCTAATAGATCTTAGATTTAAAGTAAAGAGTATACTTAGGTAGTAACATTCTTTTCTTGCAAAAATTGATGCAATTGTTTTTAGACCCACTCTATTTGTGTGTAAAAAATACTGATAACCTTCAAAGTTTCATAGTGTTCTTAAAAGTGTTTTTACATTGGTATTAAAGATTTATTTCTGTTTTAAGAATCTGTTTTCCTCCACCACCTCTTTGTCATTGTACCCTCAAGCAATAAATATTTTATTGATGAAATTATCTGTAGAAACTTGGGTCTCTTAGAAAATCTCAATGAAATAATAATTACAGTAAGGTATTCGTTTTTATTCATTCAGCCACCATTCTAGATTGAGTATTTTGTCATTTGTTGTATTAGCATTTTCTTAAAGGCTAGCATTTACCATCAGTTTGATCGAATATGGAAACATAGATGCATATCTGTTTCCACAGAACTGATCAATATCAATTGTAGTGGTAAACTTAATTTTATCATTTGATATTATAGAAGTAAACATCTTCACCACCGTTACTGGATACTGAAACTGTAAAATTGTATATTGATAAATTAACATGAATATCATCAACTTGAGCTTATTGAAATTTGAATAAATAATTACATAAAAAGCCTGTAAGAATGTAACAGTACAAAGTTACAGCTGCTAATACCATTCACTCAATGTAGTGATATCTAATTTACATCAAAAATTGATTAAATGTCACATGTGTATATGATTTATTGACTTCTACAATGAGCTAATTCGTATTATGTCGATTATGTTTATGTTATAAATATTATTATTATTCATTTTTGATTTTTATTTACAGATAAGTGTGATGTTTGAAATACCTAAATTGAGTATTAGAGCAAATTCAACTAGTACAATTGAAAAAACTTACATAATATGTTATTAATTTTTCAAAATACAAGTATGCACCATTTTAAATCAGGTGATTGTGATATGCATCAATAAACAATGGCAATTAAGAAGCATTAATATTCATGGCATTGTTTTTGTCTCCTTGTGTATAAAGAATTGACATTTCAGATTGAATTTATAGTTGTATTAACACAACTGAAACCAAATACTTATTTCATTTTCAAATTTATTCAAATGGTAAGATAAAACACAAACAATCATAATTCAATATAGAAAAAATTTAAAGAATTTTTATTTGTAAACCCCCAAGAATTAAAAAATAATATCCATAAATATGCAGCATATCTTTATACTTAAATTATATGTTTTTGATGTAGTTTAGAAATTACAAGTTTTGTTTTGTATTTTTATAAAGGTTGTATCAATGTTTCAAAAAGATATAATTGAATCTTTAATTTTATCAAAAAACCATAACAAACCAAAAATCCCATGTTGAATTTTCCTTATTTTGTGTCTTCATCAAGTTTTGACAAAGTGTATTAAAAAAAACCACTTGTTTTTCCAAAGTGTATTAAGTGGTTTTTTCCTCTAGAATTTTTAATTATTTCTTATGTAGAATACTAACTCAAACATTAACATCAATAAGTAAATAAGTATATGTATGTATGTATATATACATATATATATAAATAAATAATATAATACACCTATGCTTTTACTTAATAAACCCACCCTTGATGAAGAATATAGTAATCATGATGAATATGGTTGATTTTTATTGTTGTAGATCCAATAGTGGAGAAATAAATCTAGAGGTCATTTATTTATTTTCATGATGAGTGAGTCAATTTTGTAAAAAATTAGGTCTATTTTAACATTCCCCTATGAATATCAATAAATATACATATAATAATAATAATAATAATAATGCACTTCCTTGTATTATCACAGCTTCTGAGAAAGCGGGTCTTATGTTCCAAAACATGCAGGCATGTTCGACGAACGAGTTCTACCACAGAGCCCCATGTATTCATCCATTTGACGTATTTCATCCACTGCGTTCCCCTGGAGCATTGAGAACATCCGAAGCCGGCGAGAACACCGGACGGGAACATAAATTAGGGTTTGGGATCGGACGGCCCAGAGAAGCCGTGCGGGTGACTCTAATTGTTGCAGTGGACACAGAGGCCTTCTCTTTGCAGCGCCTTCCTGCAGGTGCCCCTCCCCGCATCGCTGCCACTGCCGGATAGAGCTCGCGTAGCCAGCCATGGTTTGGCCCTCTCCCCCTCCCCTTTCCTTTCACTTCGCTTCGATTCACTTATTCCATGTAGTTGACTGTTGAATTCTCTTCATTTTGGTGTCTCATTCGCTGTGTTTCGTTTCAATTTCCAGGCGTTTATCAAACCTAACAAGACCAAGGCCTACTTCAAAAGGTTTCAGGTCAAGTACAAACGCCGTAGAGGTGAGTGGGTTTGGTTTGTGTTTGGGCATGGATTGTTTTGAGTGACTTGTTTGTTTTTATCTTTAGAGTGTTTGGAATTCAATTTTGGTTGGAATGGTGGTGTGTTTAGATTAGGGTTTCTGGCTCTGGGTTGTTGCGTTTTTCGGAGGAGCTGAGGGTGATGTGGTTGTTGATGCAGCCGGTAAAACCGATTACCGTGCGAGGATTCGTTTGACTACCCAGGATAAGAACAAGTACAACACCCCGAAGTACCGTTATGTCGTGCGATTTGTATCCTTTCATACTACAATTCTGGCTGCGTGATGGTCTGGGTTTAGTGATGGCTGTGCCCGCCTCGTCGTTTTGGATTAGGGTTCGGTGTGCTGACCTAGTTTAGGTCTTGGTTTATTGCTGCTGTTACTGGATGACGTGGAATCAATTTACCTTGGACGATCACATGTTCGCCGGGTATATGTCATCATTTTATTCTTCTACAAGATTTGCAGTGTGTCATCAGATGACCTTGACCTAATCTTCTAGACCAACAAAGACATTGTTGCGCAAATCACCTATGCGACGCTCGCTGGAGACATCGTCCTCACCTCTGCCTATGCCCACGAGCTCCCTCGATATGGTTTGAAGGGCGGTCTCACCAACTATGCTGCTGGTACATTCTCAACCTATCAACGCAATATGAAATCGTCTCCTTTTCCTTCTGTCTTCACAATACCTTTTATAGTGGTCACCTGGCTAGGAGATCTTGACGTCAACTGTTCTGTATGCAGCATATTGCACTGGTCTTCTTTTGGCTCGTCGGCATTTGAAGAACTTCGAGTTGGATCAGGAGTATGTTGGGAACGAGACGGTTCGTGTGTAGTCTTTCTGCTTGACCTCGTTCTGACCATTGTATCAGCAATTACTATTTTTGATTTTGTATCTACGTTTGTGTACAATTTGTATACTGTATGTATTTGACCTAAGGAATGTCAGGGAAATATTTGAATCTGCTCGTCTCTTGAATATCGTCATTATTTTACTCCGCTCCACATGATCTGTTCTTCAAACGCAGTTAAATCTGAGAGATTTATGTTTGCTCGAATGCAGGCAACCGGAGAGGACTACAATGTTGAGGAAGGTGAGGGAAAAAGGCCATTCAGGGCTCTATTGGATGTCGGCCTTGTGAGGACTACCACCGGAAACAGGGTTTTCGGAGCTCTGAAAGTAAGTATTCTGGATGACTCTCTACGGAGGTTACTGCCACTCCTGTCATTCCGTTTCACTTTCACCAATACTAGTAAGGAAATAGATTCCGAGTGACAGCCGAGCTTAACCCTAGACGTCACCTATCATCCTGCTTTTCCAGGGTGCGTTGGATGGAGGTTTAGATGTTCCTCACAGCGAGAAGCGCTTCGCCGGCTACAGCAAGGAAGACAAGTCCTTGAATGCCGAGATTCACCGGAAGTACATTTTGGGTGGTCATGTTGCCGACTACATGAGGGTAATTACATGAACAATGATTTAAGTTCGTTCTTCTAAATATTTTCAGCGCTTCCGATCAATACGAGAGGTCCCATCTCTCATGTCTGTTCCCAGCTTCCTTTGCAACGTATTGGTGGTATTTTGCATGCTTCTTAATGGTGTGCATTGTGTCTGTACGCAGCTTTTGAAGGAAGATGAACCTGAAAAGTATCAATCCCACTTCAGTGGATTTATTAAGGAAGGAATCGAGGCTGATGATCTTGCGGACATGTACTCCAAAGTGCACGCAGCCATCCGTGCAGACCCTACTTCACAGAAGACTGCGAAGAAGGCTCCTGCTGAAAAGAGGAAGTGAGTTCCCCTACATTTTACTATATAACGAGATTCTACTACTGCTCATTGTAGATTTTGTGTTTACTCATCGACCCGTTTGTTTTTGTTGAACAGGTGGAAGATTCAGAAGCTCACATATGAGGAACGCCAGGCTGCTTTGGTAAAACGCCTCAATGCCATCAATGGTGATGGAGACGAGTAGATTAGCCAGTATGAAGCTTGTCAATGTACTTCTGGGCCAAGTGTGCCCAATCGAGCATGGCTTGTAGAAAGGAGTTGGGCTATTGTGGCTCGCATGACCTGTTTTGTTAGTATGCATTTGGCATTAAGAATTCATATTTGGTCGTGTCCTTACTTAAACATCTCTGTTGTCACCCTGGAATGTCTCAAGTTTTGGAATATTTCGAGACATCATTTTGGTTTGATATTGCTGGACCTGCCTTTCGAAACATCTAGCTCTGGTATCAATGTATGGAATTTGTGCATTTGTCCGTACAGTTGATCACATTCATTACACAATGCATGCATGTCGAAGGTACACGATAAGTATGTGAGTATATAGTAGGTGGCACAGACAAGGTTCTAGTGCTTGCTTTGATGGACCCTTATGTTATTATTCGGTGAAGAAGCACTCAAGCTTATTCACTGGTTGATTTTTAAATGCCAGACTTGGTTTGACTGCTATCACATATCGGGAGCCAGGGTCGGTCCTAAACATATTCCAACCAGTTAGTATTTGTTGTCCATTTGAAAAAGACTTTGATCCTTTGGAGCCGGGAATGCGGTTCGGAATCCATAGTTATTCAAACTTACGTGAATCATGTTCGTTGAGGTTCTAGCTCATCCGCGGGGCACACTTGAGCATTGGCTCCAGATTCAACCGTGGAATGGCAGATACCACCCTTTTAGACCGTTCGATACAAACCTGTGAGGAACGGAAACTATTCTTCCATGAAGTACTTCAGGTACGGTAAACAATGATGACCACCAATGTCGAAAAGGGGAGCGAAGATAGCAACCCCGCCTGTTGACACCAGCATAGGTGGATGTCGAGGAAATTTAGACTGAAATTGCAGTATTTATCCAGGTACATCTGAAGCATGCTGTGACTTTATTTCGTAAGCATATCAATGTCACGGGTTGTTGAGATCAGATAACTCTGGGCTGCATGTGTTGACCCTCCATTGCTGATCTGACGATGATATGAACCAGACATTGGCTGAAACTTGGAACACCTTTTGTCCGTCCTGATTTAGGCCTAAAGAGCGAACCAGGCAAATATTTTCGAGATTCTTTGGCCTGAGGCGCAATGCCTGTTCACCTTTTTCACAGTATACAAACGTGTTTTTATAAAAACTCGAAAAGTACAGTCTAGTACCCGTGAGATCATTAGAATAGAGTTTCCGTCAAGGTTTTAATATTTTAGAGCCAAGTTCGAAACAAGACTGCGAAGCCAGTAGATTGCAAAGTCTACCACCGCCCTATAACTGAGAGAATGTTAAAGTAAGAAAACGTGCTGAGGATGCTGTCTGACCTTTATTACCTGTTTCACAATCCAGTTAGCCGTTTCTAACGTAAATATACATCGAGAACTTCTTTACTTACTGCTTTCTCGAAATTGGAGCATCAGCGTGGACACAGCAAATTTGCATTAAATATCAGACCTTCAGAAAATCTGTGGAGAGCATTGTCCCTCTGTGGAGAGCATTGTTACTCAAGAGAAGCATCTTTTGCGTGCAAGTCACTGAGGGAGAGAAAGCAGAACTGCACTCAGAAATCACGGCGGATCATACATTCCCAAGGTTCATGCGGTTCTTGCAGCACTTAAGCTCGAGCCATTCAGTACTACAACGTTGTGAACGGAACCGATTAATTTAATGATTTTGCGATTGAAGAGTGGAATCTTTTTGATAATGAGACCAACTGCTGCTAACTGGGTCCTCAGACACTAATAAATATTATTATTTTCAGACCATTAAGAATTGTGCCACTACTTTAACTCAAGGATGATGCAAATGCTGACGACTGCATTCGGGAATTTTGATACACGTTTGATTCCTCAACTCTCATCAACTGTGGTTTTTTTCGAGGGTCAGCAGATTAACGAGGTGGACTTCACGATCCAAGAATGTGGTTGAAGGTTGGTTGCTTGAGCTTGGGATTCAGCTTTGGAAAGTGCAACCTAACCAGACGGAGAGATGAGAATTTGCGAGTAAATTCTACACGATCGTGAAACGGCCAACTACCCAGCCAGCCATATAGCATCCGGCCGCTGGGTCCCACTTACGGGAGCTGTTGGAATCGAACAACACATTCAACTCAACAACAATGAGCCAAGGTATCGATCAAAGTGTGCAGTTGATTGTGACTGTGTTGAGTCCAGCACATGCCACGCAAGAAAAATTGTTCATCAGAACACCGCCGTAGCTCACCAGGAACGTGGTAGTGCGAATTGACGCCCGGAGTTGACCGGGAGGGCCTCTCATGCGGCTTTCGAGGAAGCATAAAATGCCAAATGTGTTGTGCATGGATCGATATCAGATATCACCTGGGTGGGTTGTTGCGGATGTTTGCCACAGTCCTAACTCCGATACAGTAAAAGACCGAACGCTCAGTTTGCCGAGGCTGAACATTTCGTCCACTGATTGTGTAGCCGCCGGAGCATTCACCGCTTGGTCGTTCAGGTACAAGCCCTTTCAAGGTGAGTTGGGGTTTGCCAAAACGTTAGTATTGTGATGGTTCCTCAACCTGCATGTATGGCAGTTCCAGTTTCTAATCTGCCGCTGCGAGCAATTCCGGGCGGTTATGGAATCTCTTACTTGGGAGCCATCAAGGATCGGCTTGATTACTTCTGGATCCAGGGAGAGGAGGAATTTTATCGCAGCCGTGTGGAGAAGTACAACAGCACGGTGTTCCGCGTGAGCATGCCCCCAGGGCCCCCAATTGCGAAGGATGCGAGAGTCATCTGTGTTTTAGATCAGAAGAGCTTCCCGATTCTATTCGACGTGAACAAATGCGAGAAGAGAGACCTCTTCTTGGGGACTTACATGCCAGATTTGAGTTACACAAGCGGTCACCGAGTTCTCTCGTACCTGGATCCCTCGGAGGTGCGTCACGAGAAACTGAAGCAATGGTGCTTCGACCTGATCGCGAGGAACGGGCGCAAGTTTTTACCTGAGTTTCACACGGCAATGGAAGAGTCTTTTGCAGTGTGGGAAGAGGCTATGGAAAAAGGGGAGAATGCCAATTTGTCGGAGGAAGTGCAGCAATTTGCATTCAATTTTCTAGTCCGGGCTGTGCTTCACCACGATCCCGTGGCACCCGGCGAAGCGAGCTTGGGGAAGAATGGCGGCCCGTATGCGTCTGCCTGGCATGGGCCGCAGCTCGCGCCCATAGCAGGCCAGACGGGCCTCCCACACGCTGTGGAAGAGCTGCTGCACACCATCCGTCTACCATCGTCCGTGGTCAAGGAGCAGTACGACGCCTTATACAATTTCTTTAAAACATACGGCGGGGAAGAGCTCGACAGGGCCGTGGCCTTGGGGATCAAGCGCGACGATGCCATAGCAAATTTGCTCTTCCTCCTCGGCTTCAACGCATACGGTGGGTTCAACTTCTTCTTCCCGCAACTCACCGGCCATATTGCGCAATGCGGCCCTGAGCTGATGCACGAGCTCCACGAAGAGGTGGTGGCTGCCGTCCAAGCCACCGAGGGGAAAGTTACTCCCAAGTCCCTTGAAAACATGCCATTGTTGTCGTCTGTCGTTTACGAAGGGTTCCGGATGAAGCCTCCCGTGCCTTACCAGTACGCCAGAGCCAAAACCGACTTCCTCATCGAGAGTCACGAGAATTCCTTCGAAGTGAAGAAGGGGGAGATGTTGTATGGTTTCCAACCCTACGTGATGCACGATCCCAATGTTTTCGAGAACCCTGACAAGTTTCTTCCGAGACGATTCATGGGCCCCGAGGGCGAAGCGCTCCTGGGCAATGTGTTTTGGTCTAACGGGCGAGAGACAGATGACCCGACTGTACACGACAAACAGTGCGCTGGAAAGGATTTGGCGGTCACCATCTCTAGAGCTTATGTAGCGGAGATGTTCTTGAGATACAAGGAATTCACGCTGGAGGTGCAAGGGTCAGGAGTCCAAACAACGCTCCTTTTCTCCGCTCTTCAGAAAGCTTGAAGGATTGGAGCAAGTGCCATAAGGTAGAAGTGGATCCTGAACCAAGTTAGAGTCCATCGGCATATGCATGACCTACTTTCCCTGGGTAGACATGCCTTTACTTCGCTGTGGACTCCTCTACACAACCCTGCTTGGGCAACGCAACGCAACGCAACGCAAGATAGATGTAAGCAATTAGAGGTGGCTACAGCTCTTGAGATGCTCTTTTGTGCTAACAGAGACCTGAAGATGGACTTTTTAGAACTGTATTTTGGTTTGTGAATTTTGAATTTGATGGTAAAATCATTGTTGTTTTCCGCATGTCGAGTCTTTTGACCGTTTTTCCACTGATTCTCTCCCACGTCGAGTCTTTTTTTTTTTTTTTTTTTTTTTTTTTTTTTCACAGTAATGAGTTCGAGTTAGTCCTGGGGATGCAAACTAGTTAGCCTTGTGAACCACGTCTCTAGTGTACAAGAAAATGTCTTTTTTCTCGGCAGTGGAAATTTCATTTTTTCATCGAATGATGGCCTTTGGTGTCGCAATCGAAGCATCAGCACATGAAAGTTAGATCGGAATCAGGTTCAGATCGGCGCTGAACTCTAGAAGAGATTCTTATAAGTTGGTTCGAGAACTAAATAAAACTCTCACGTACAATAATTTATATCCTAAAGCATCGTACCCTATCTCGGGAGAGGCCATCATGCAATCAGATTGTGCATAATATGCACATGTTTCTTATCGTGAAATTCAAGTGAAGTAGTACGTCGCAAGCATACGATTGCAAAGCAGTTCCTCACTAATTGCCCGCTTCACTCGGTCAAGGAAATTGCCGTTAGAGGAATCTCCTTCCCAGGTTCCTACCTACTCAGGCAAACGATGATGACATTGGACCTCCCATCACAAGCCGAAATTTCAGAGGAGAAGTACCTGAAAAAATTGGGGACCTGGCAAACTGAAAGCATGTTCACAATTAAGGTTTAGCAAGTTCATACATAGGTTCTGCGACTAGAGTCTAGTGGACACCTAGGTGTGCAAGCGTGGTTCTGAATCCAACCAGGTCCACTTTATTTTAGCAAACTTTCATATTTCCTGCATGAGCACAGTCTAAGCCATGATTCGATTTGAGCTAATCGTTTTTTGATTCTAACTTCGCTGCAAGGATGGTGTTACAAACAGACAATTTCAATCAAAAGAGCAGCAAGAGCAATCGTGGGCAGCTGTATCCCATTCCTCACGCCTTCGAGTGTTACTGTCAGAGACAACGAGCAACGATTTGGATTCCGATATGGAATAAAACTGTCTGTACTCAATTGCTCGTTCAATCATGTGATCGGAATCTTATGCACATTGCGCTCCACTGGTCAAAGTCACTGATTAAATTCCCACAGCATCCCCAACATCATCCAGAAAGTCAAACAGCCCCTACCAGATGCGAAGAATTAACCCAGCCCGTAGGGTGCAGAAGCTCCGGCGGATCGTTTGAAGAGGGTCGTTTTACCCTCGGGGCACCGAAGTAGTCAATGAGGTGAAACCGAGACGGGCCAATTTGGAATTCAAAACTATATCCAACACCGCATCTGCAGTGCTCATGATAACAGCCTAGAATCTCTGGACAATTAACCCAAATCCCAATATAGAATACATTCACAAGTCCCGATGTGCCGCATAATACGCGGATTAGATCCCCTCGTGTCTGGTGCATGGTGATAGAGGAACACACCCACTTGCAGCAGCAGCAGAAACAGCTGCATGTCTCTGAAGAAGAATGACGCACGGCTTACACATTGAATGCGTCACTGCCGATCCAATGCATTCCGAAGTTCGACGAAAACTCACCAGAACTTGGAACTGCATCGAAGGCCTGAAAATGCACATTAACCGAATGACGCGATAGTGAAAAATACACCAAGAAATCCGCTCACTCAGTGAGTTCTATACAGAAAACGACAGATGTCGGAGCATCGGGGTTACAATAAGGGTTACAATTAGGATTTCAATTAGGGTTGAGATTAAGGTTACAATTGGGGTTGCAATTACAGTTAAGATTAAGGTTACAATTAGGATTTGAATTAGTGTCGAGATTAAGGTTGCAATTAGGGTTTTAATTAGGGTAGTAATTAGAGTTAAGATTAAGGTTACAATTAGGGTTTTCAGTGGATGGGATTACATCGTCAAAATTGACATTGCTGGTCCACCGTCAAGAGGTTCCCAACTAAATAATTTTAGACCACATTTTGCATTTTAGTCTTTAAAATGTTTAATCACTTTAAAATTTATTGCAATTAGAACAACACGAGTTACTTAATAATCAGGTTGATACAGTAAACTTAATATTGGTGTAAATTATTTAAGTATGTGTATTGACTTACTTGAATGTGGTTGAGAACGCTTTTACTATCAACAGTATATGTAATTATCAAGCTGTTGTAACTGAATTAACTACAACAATGAGTTGTGATTAATTAATCTAATCACTAGCTTGCCAAACAAAACCAGAGCATGATGTTAATATTTTAAGTTAGTGTTGACTAATCAAAACATTGAGCTGAATTATTGCACTCTGCAGCATTAGAATGCATTGAAGCAAAAGCAATGATATGTAAACCATTTGTGAGTATTTAATATAAAACTTTCAAAGCACCAAAGTCAATGGCATCAAACTCTATCACTGAAAATGGCTCTGATCACATGATTGTGTGATGAAATGACTAATTATTGGTCTTATTTCGATTTTTAAAACTTATTTTACATTTAGACAAAAGAATACCCTTCAAAGCAAGTTTTCAGTTGCAAGATTCAGTCCTATTAACTTGCAGTGGTAAAATTTAAAACTCATTCATGAATTTATCAATTTAAATGTTGAAGTTGATTGTAGCCAGATTTTACTTGAAATTTCCAAGATTTAGATTGATTTAGATTGATTTCAATGTCATCAATATGATGACAAAAGTTGTAGTAATTGATTTGATTAATACAACACCCACTACAAAAATAACTTAATTATAAATTAGAAACACGAGTCTTTTAACTAGTAGGTTAAATTCCTTCCATATTTTAAATAATTTATTCTAGATATATATAGTAGTTCTAAATCCAAGTTAGAAGATAAAATTTTGATATCTAGATTTTCTACTAACAATGAATATATTATATGTTTTTATTTTTTTCTAAAAATAATCAAATTAAAAATAAACTTAGAATTTATACATGTATAAATAAATAATATACAATTTTATTTTAAAAATACATATTATTTTAATATATAAATTCAAAAATCACGTAGTCATGTGAATATTAGTAGGTGTTTTTGAATTCTAAAAAAATTATATTTATCAATATTGTTTTGAAATTATTTTACTATCTAATGATAAAAACATCAAATTCTAGCTCAATTTCATTGTATATATATATATATACACAAATAAAGCTTGGTGCAATTCATATAATAATCAACATAAGTTTCAATTTTTAGCCAAAAATAAAATTGATATATATATATATATATATATATATATATATATATACATATATAAATGGTGCATTACTATGTTTATAACTATTAATTAATATCAAGTAAGATGATTTAGTTAATTTATTAAAAAATATAAAATATAATAATAGATATAATAAAAATAATAATTATTATTTAGCTTGAATAATCTTGAACTATTGAGTCAAGTAATTGATTTTGTTACCAAATACCATCATATGTATTGGATACTAGTACTATTGAACATTTTAAGTAGAAAATATATTTTTTAAAAACTTCAAGATAGCTTTCTATATATAAATTTAATGTATACATTTTTCCTAGATATGCTATATGGCTATGCAAACTTCTCTTATAAGTTTCTTACCTTTAAGAAGTCCCTACAGAACCATCCTACAACTTAGATCCTTAGTCCATAAGCCTTGTAGTCTTTAGAAAATTTCAACATGTGTTTTTTTATTATCTAGTAATATTGAGACACAATTAAGACCTTACTCATTCTTTTTTTAGAGTAGAATTTGTGTTCCAATCTTAATTGGAGACTCTCTAGTTCTTTCTACTTCTTAATAGTTATTCTAGTATATACTCTAGTTGATTATCTATAATTCTTTTTGAACTTCTTTCTTCTTTTTTAGATTTATATGAATATATTGTGTTTTCAAAAGTTTTTTTAGATTCATACTCTTGATAGTTTGTAAAAACTTACATGTGCAATATCATATCTTAATATTTCATTAATAAAAAATAAACTACCTCTACTTCTTGATAACATCAAAGTCTTTTAGCATTTGTAGATTAACTTCATCTTATTTTTGATATTGTTGTTGTAATATTTCATTTTTTTATCCTTCAATCTTTTATTTTTTCAAAGATCCTCTAATTATTATAGTTATGATATAAATAATAAAAATAAAGAATATCATTCTATAATTGCAATAAGAAATGAAAGAATTAACTCTTGCTATTCATCTACTTTGTTTACCACCTCAACTAACATTAATTACACATGTTGAAGATAAAACAAAGATTGTAAGAGTTTCTTTAATAATTGTATTAATTCAATTTGGTTATAGAAATGCAATTACATTTGGTAAATAACAAAGAGTGGCATATTTGGAGAAGTTTGATGAAATTAGATTCATGTTTTAGAAATTTATCATTCTGGTTATTTTGGTTATTAAGCTCCAATGACTAAGTTATCTAACCAAAGAAGTTAAAGTAATATTAATTGGAATATTTTATGATAGACAAGCTTTTACAAATTGGCATCAATTTATGATAGATAAGATCAAATATTCAAAATCCTAGAGGCATTTCTAGCTAAGTTTAGAGCCATGCATAGAGAATGTAATATAGATGGTACAACAATCAACAAAAAATAGATTTTATAATAAAAAATTTGAATGTATCTACATATGCATCAAAATTACAACAACTATCAATTAGAATTAAGTAGAATGATTTTTGTGCTTCTTTGTTAAATTTTGTATAAGTTACAACATAATTGGAAAAAAACAAAGTTTATCTTGTATAATATTTAAGAATTGAGTCAAAATGTTGATATTATTGTGGAATTTTATAAATTTTAAAAGATATTAATATTACTTTAATAAATAGAAGTAAATTAAAATAAATAGAAATAAATATCAAATACTTATATAAGTAATTATTTTTTGGAAAAAAAAACATAAAAGTAGCTTCATAGTTGTAAATCATGCAACTATTAAAAAACTACTACATGTAAAATTATACTTCTTTTATTTGGTGTAATATCTTTATTAAAACTTTAATAAAATAAAAGGTTTTTAAAACTAATCTAAAAGTTGTAAGG